GGCCAAGGCATCCCGCCCTCAACCAGAGCTCTCCCAGGGTCACGGCCGATACATGGAGAAGCCTGGATGCAACCCAGGTGTGACTGCAAGACATCCAGTTCTCTGAGCTGCCTGCCAGATCGGACAAGCTCCCTTGGCTTATGAGAACACCCCTAAAGTCGGACGCCGAAACAACAACCAGATCTGACCGGAATACTTAGTTCAATCACCTGAACCAAAATTCTTAAAAGATTTGTTTTCATTTTTATGTGCTACTGGTGAGACTGTACGTGGATGTGAGGAAAAACTCTGGCAAGTGTGTCCCACATTACACTCCTACTTCCCAAACTGAATTCACACAGAACAAAAACCTAGCACTGGACACAGACACGTTTAGATGCAAGGCACTCAGCAGCTTCTACGGAACTCACTGAGACCAACTGTACAGATTCATACTCAGACAGAGGAAGCTACTCACAATTCATCGGGAAGTGCAAAAACTAGTAAATATATTAGGACATAGATCTACATAGATCTAAAATGTACTGATTTTCAGCGGCTTCCAAGATGCATCCGAGGCTTCTGGCTCTGACCTGACCAGCCAATGGCTGCCATGGCCAACTGGGTTGTGGACCAGCAGATGAAGTCCTTTCTGTCTTCTCTTTCAAACAAACGAATCTGTTAGAGAACAAACTTTCTGATTTTAATGCATGAAACAATCTAGCTATGTGTTTTCTACATGAATTACAGAAGCTGATATACATTATAATTGGTTTACCACTTCTGGTCTAAGGAAATCCATACTATATATCTTTAACTGTGTAAAGCTGCCTAATGCTTCTGGATACACAGGAGCATGCTGCCCTCTGCTGGACATGTTAATTCCACAGCATTAAGGTGCCATTCGCTTTTTTTCATTACTAAGACAATAAGCTGGGGGTACCCTGGTAACCCTACAAGAAAAAACAAAATTAACAAATACAAATATCAAAGAAAGCAAACAGAAAGTATATGTATTTAGGAATTCTTTCTGGACCAGCTCACAAAATGGTGCTATTGTGCTTATAATCATCACGGGCATTTTGAAAAGAAAATAACTCCACACTCCATCCCATTTTAGTACTAAAAAAAAGCACACTAATGTATAATAAACATAAATAAACGGCCTGGCGCAGTAGCCTAGCAGCTAAAGTCCTCGTCTTGGCACACTGGGATCCCATATGGGCACCGGTTCTAATCCTGGCTGCTCCACTTCCCATCCAGCTCCCTGCTTGTGGCCTGGGAAAGCAGTTGAGGACAGCCCAAAGCCTTGGGACCCTGCACCCGCATGGGAAACTTGGAGGAGGTTCCTGGTTCCTGGCTTCTGAATGGCTCAGCTCTGGACATTGCAACTACTTGGGGAGTGAATCAGTGGATGGAAGATCTTCCTCTATCTCTCCTCTCTGTATATCTGACTTTCCGATAAAAATACATAATCTTTTTTAAAAAATAAAGATAAATTTAAAAAAATAAACTACAACCTCTTTCACATACTGGCCTTTTGAATAAGAACATTTCCGCTTAACAGAATCTGACTTGTCAACATTTGCTCAATACCTCTCAATCAGGGTACATTTTGGAAGTCCAGCTGCCAGCCCAACATGAGGCACCCAACTTTCTCCCTATGTCTTTTACTCTACAATCTGGTTCAGTTTTAACAGTAAAACAGCAAAATAGCCAGGACTGGGCAAGGCCAAAGAGGGGAGCCTAGACCTCAACCCAAGTCTCTGGTGCACAGGTGACGGGGAGCCACCTATTCAATAAGCCAACACCTGCCGCCCCCCAGGACCTGCATCAGCGGGAGCTGGCAGCCAGAACCAGGAGTCAAGTCCAGGCTCTCTGCCACGGGAGGCTGGTGTCTCCACCATCAGCCAGAATGTCCAATCATTCTCCTGTTTAACAAACGAAATCAATCCTACCTCAAAGGATATTTCACTGTTTTCTCCAATTGTCAGTCAAAACACGATGAAGTGAAATGATGAATAAATGTCACTGATCTCTAAAATGGTCAGAAACACCCAGGATCTCATTAAGTATTTCGGCTCTTTCGGGCCAGTGCTTGCAGTACTGGTATCCCGTATGAACGTTGACTCAAGTCCCAGCTACTGCACTTCTGACACCTCTCTCTGCTAACACCCCTGGAAAAGCAGTGGCAGACGAGACAAGGGCTCGAGACCCTGCGCCCATGTTGGAGACTCGGATAGACTGCCAGGCTCCTAACTTCAGCCTGCCCGTTGTGGTCACATGGAGAGTGAACCATCAGATGGAACGTATTTCTCTCTACCTCACTCCCCAAATGTTTCTTTTCAAATAAATAAGTCTTAAAAAGTAATTTTAGCTCTTTCAATTTTACTAGTCATTAAGATCTATTTTATATCCATACATTTGGCAATCACATTCTATAAAGTTGTTGAATTATACTGAATTATCAAAAATGTTAAACCACTGCACCTGGGCAAAACACAGGGTTAGGTTCCTTCAAGCCTATGCTCTCAACTTTTTCCTCAAATAATCAATATGGAACATTTTTCAAGTGCGTTTCTGTTTAAGAACATCTTACTCAGGGCCTGGTGCTGTGCGACAGGTTAAACCACTGCCTGGAAAGCCTGTGTCCCCTCACCGAGTGCCTGGTGTAAGTCCTGGCACTTCCAAGTTGGCTTCCTGACAATGCAGCCAGGATGCAGTGGGAGGCAGCAGGCATGTCTCAAACGCCCAGGGTCCTGCCACCCAGTGGGAGATCTCGACGGAATTCCGAGCTCCTAGATTCAGCTCGGCCCAGCCCTGGCTATGGAGGCATCTGCAGAAATGAATCAGCAATTGGGAGCTCTGTCTCTCTCCTTCTCTCTCCCTCACTGTGTTGATGTGTCATTCTGCCTTTCAAGAAGGTAAAAATAAATATGCGTTTTTAAAAAAAGACACCTCTTATGGCTAAGGCTGCGGCGTTGCAAGTTAAGCAGCTGCCTGCCATGCCGGCATTCCATATGGGTGCCAGTTGAAGTCCTAGCTTGCTCCACTTCCAATCCAGCTCCCTGCAAATGGCCTGGGAAAAGCAAGAGAATGGATTAAAGCTTGGGCCCCTGCACCCATGTGAGAGACCTGGAAGAAACTCTAGGTTCCTGGCTTTGGACCAACCCAGCTTTAGCCACTACAGTTATCTGGGTCAAGAATTAGTGAATGGACAACTGTTCTCTAAGTCTACCTCTCAAATAAACTGCAGCCATTTGGGGAGAGAATCAGAGGACAGATTTCTCTGTAAGTTTGCCTTTCAAATAAATAAATAAATTTTTTTTAAGACTTACTTATTTCTATTTAAAAAGCATAATTACAGGGAGGAGAGAGAGAAAAATCTTCCATTTACTGGTTCACCCCCCCAAATGGCCACAACAGCCAGAGCTGAGCCAATGTGAAACCAGGAGCCAGGAGTTTCCTCCTGCTCTTCCATGTAGGAGAGACACAAGGTCTTGGGCCATCCTCTGCTGCTTTCTCAGACCGTAAAGAGGGAGCTGGACTGGAACCAGAGCAGTCAGGACTCAAACTGGTGCCCATATATGATGCCAGCACTACATATGGAAGTTTAACCTATTGGGCCATGCTACCATTCCCAATAAATAAATTTACAAAAAGAAAAACACGTTATTGAGGAATTAATACTGAAGTTACAAGCCAACCTCACTAAAACTCATGCTGGAACAACACACATGTAACACCCATATTTCCTTTGGAAGCCACTCATGCTTAGGAGCCTGAACACACTTCCAACAAGATATGCAAGGGCCATCTCACACAGGAAAAGCACAAGAATATGAAAACCTCAGCTTTAAATGAACTCAAGGAGGCAAAGGGGCCACCTTGTTCCACCCTGTCCCTTCTCAGCTTGGAACATGCACCTTGGGGTGACTCACTGCTCTTCGCTCTACATATGCACATATCCATGAACAACCATGAATGCACCATGAGTATTGATCTGGGGGTTGTAAGTAAATTCTAGGGCGTAGATCAATTAACAAATACAGCAACCGCAAACACTGAGGATTAACTGCATCATGTAATACCCCCTATCTCTCTGTTTAATGATTAACACTACAATTCAACAGCTTGTAGACAGTACACAATATCTACATCTCAGAATAGGTTAACTGGGTCACTATGCAACCATGTGAGATTCCGCTGTTTAACATTCTATGGGAAATGTCTCGTGGGTTCTATGCCAATGATTCACAACAATCCACAAGCAAAAAACTTAAGAAAAAAAATTACAGATTAGATGTTTGTATTTCTGCAAAGCTCGTTGGAACCTAGAAATCTATAAAAAAAAAGAAGAAAAGAAACTTGGTCCACATTCTCTGTCCTACAAAATTCCTATGCTGGAATTCAGTCCACAGCTGTCATTGCCCATGCGTGACACAGCATCACAGCAACTCTATGACAGCGAGAGTTGTAGATGTGCACTGACTGTGGACTTGCCAAATTATAGGAAACTCGCAAGTGGGAACACTGCAAAGAAACACCGAGTAAGAACACATATGCCAATATGATCGCATCTCTAAGGTGTAAGTTGCAACAAAAGAAAATCAATTAGTATTACAGTATGTAATATATGTAACAAAAACACAAAACCAAAACCTAGTATATACTTAATGTGCTTGGATAAGCAAAATTATCTGCTGAAAGATACTCAGAAACTGGCAACAGTATCTTTACAGAGGAGAACTCCGTTAGGTGCTAAGTGGTGGGAGTGCTGAAAAATCACAACAGATCCTTTTGCACTCTTGCACTTTTTTAGATGTGTCTCTTTCCAGATTGGTTAGCACTTGCTGAAATACCTGATCTTAGCTTTCAATTGAAAACACATCATATGACTGGATATTCTTATCTATGCCACCAAAGCTTTCTCTTCCCGAAGTTCCTTATCCTCCACATTAATAATTACATATGAAAACAAACAAAAGAACATGACGTCCAGAAGACAGCTGCAGACTTACCTTAAAAATGATGACAATGGGTATATCTTCTGACAAAGTATTGTGCCTCAGATAGAATCGTCCTTGCTTCACAACCATGTTGGTTCTGCTTTTTTTCTCATGGGTCGAGCTACAAGCAAACACACGTTGCTGAAACTGCATCCTCACTTTGCTTCAAGCCACTATCAGCTGACAGCGAGAATCAGTGATCAATAAGGTTCAACTGAGGCACACGGTCCTTTGTAGGAAATAGCTTTTCAAGATGCACGGTCGCTCCCTGGCCCTGCGACACCCCAGATCAAAGGCCATCGCTGCCAGCTGCCTCTCCGTCACACAGGACAGCGCAGAGGCCGAGCGCATGAGCTTCTACAGCTTGTCGGACGGAGGCTCGAGTTACCCATGCCACAAATCTTTCTCTTCCCACAGTGCAGTCACCTCCAAAACTCAAACTGAGGTGACAATAAACCAGAGAAAGGACGTAACAGAAATTATCTAAGGGATGCCGGTGTAGAAAACTAGTACACTGTGAAAGAAACTGGCTTAGGAAACTAATAAATAGATGGTTAAGCTCACATTCTAGGTCAATAAATAGCACTTAAATGTTTAATAGGCTGACTATATGGATGTAGAAATACTTATAAATGGTTAAACACTGAAAGGGAACATAAAAAATTAACAGTGACTTTATATAAATTTTTTCTTTTATGTAAATCCCTTTAATGCTCTAATAAAAAAATCAATACAACTGGTAATCTTTCAAATAACATCTCATTCTTTCATCGCTGAAATTTGAAAATCAATAATCATAGTTTACAGACTGACACAATAGGGTGAAAATACATGTACTTTAAAATTACACTGTTGGGTCCAGCGGCGTGGCCTAGCAGCTAAAGTCCTCGCCTTGAATGCGCCGGGATCCCATATGGGCGCCGGTTCTAATCCTGGCTGCTCCACTTCTCATCCAGCTGCCTGCTTGTGGCCCGGGAAAGCAGTCGAGGATGGCCCTAAGCCTTGGGACCCTGCACCCATGTGGGAGACCTGGAAGAAGTTCCTGGATCCTGGCTTTGGATCGGCATAGCATCCGTTGCGCTCACTTGGGGAGTGAATCAGTGGACAGAAGATCTTCCTCTCTGTCTCTCCTCCTCTCTGTGTATCTGACTTTCCAATAAATAAATAAATCTTTAAGAAAAAAAATTACACTGTTAATACAGCTGCCTGTGAAGAGAGCCCCTGGCTAACAGTGGAACCGCCAGGCTTTCTCAGGAAAAGCGCCACTGTGCTGCGTACCTGGTAACCGAGGCTCCCACGGTCCCTTTTCTATCAGCCTCCACAATGATCCTGTTCTTAGACAGCTGCTCTTGGATCAGGATCACTTTTTCTACTCCTTTCACAATGAAGTAGCCACCTGCCCAAAGGAAAAAAGAGAAAAGGTCAGCACCCATTCACCAAGCAGTGACTGACCCCCTGCAGGGCCTGCTGGATTCTAAATCCTCCCCGCCCTCCTGGCGGTGGCCATCACTCCATTTGAAGGGGTTGCCAGAACTGCTTTATGAGTTCACAACCGCACATATGAGCTGCGAGATGATAAACTTCTTGAGGAAAGAGGATGTATCTGTTTGGTGTATCCATTACCATAACTGACATGAAAGAGAAAATATTTTACCTTCTAGAAATAGAAGCTAATAGTTGGAGCCAACTTTCTGGACACTTTGTCAGCAAAGCTTCATACAATAAATTCATTACAAGGTAGATTTTGCCACAGTTTTTGAGGGGAAAACATCAAAGGAATAGTAATAGCAAAGCAAAAGCAAAAAACAAACAAACAAAAGCCAGTGGGCAACCCCATGGTGTCTCACATACCTGGATCCAAAGGACATTCATTCAGTTTGGCAAATTCCGCTGGTGTTTTCCCGGTAAGAACGCAGTTTGAACTACGTAGCATTATGGGCATTCTGTTTAAAAAGTAATAAAAAAAATACATTATCACGCCCAGCTTATTATTGGCAAAAATCTCAGGGAGGATGAAATATGCAACGTACATCTCACGGATGGATCTGGATTCCTGCCCCCGTGTCAGAGCAGATGGGCAGGGCAACTGCATGGAAGAAGACAGGGAGAGAGAGAGCTATTTCCTCGGGTACACTGACCCCCTGGTGCAGATAAAAACCCAAATGTCTGCTTTAATTTTCAATGGGTTTCATAAAAATCACTTATTCATTTTTGTTTAGTAGAAAAGCAGAGACAGGGACAAAGAGATATCTTCTACCTGCTGGTTAATTCCTCCACAGCCTACATCAGGCGCAAACCAGGAGCCTGGACCTCCCAGGCACCCACGTACGTGACCTATCCCACGTACGTGACTTATCACTTGCTGTCTCCCAGGATGCACATCAGCAGGAAGCAGAGTGACTGAAGGTGAGTATGTCAAGAAATAAAGGCAAAAACCCAGAGTATCAAAGTCATGGCTGTAAAACCCACCAGAAGAAATAAGAGACACACTTCCTCAGTGGGAAAGGAATTGGCAAGAGGGAGGAGGGAGCGAGGCTACTGTTTTGTCACAAAATGTCTTGAGGTTCTGCTTGACCTGTTGGCAGGAAGCAATATTATTTGGCTTCAACTATAATCTTCCTAACTCAAAATTTAATTAAATTAGATAGCATCTGTAATGTAGACAGCGCCAGGCACACCTAAGCACTAATTAGCAGATGTCACTTCTATGAACGCAGGCCTAGCAGATGAAATCACCTACACAGTCCCTGGCACAAAGTAGGTAATTCAGCAAACATTAGCCAGATGACCAGTCTGTAACCCAGGATTTGGACTCTACAGCTTACTATTCTTTTTCTATAACCCTAGTCTTCCCTGCTTTTCTTTCATAATATTAGATCTGACTCATATTTTAGCAACTGTTTAATATTTAACTGGATGTCATCAGGCTGCATATATAGAAGAAAGAAAGATGTTCCTGACCTTGGTAATTAGTCCTGGGAAAACCAAAATCAATATACAAATATCCCTATGAATTATCTTCACTGGATAATGAGGAGAAATGAGCAGGAAGACAATATAGAAGGTCCTTCCCTTGGTGTGCTATTTGTTGAACAAAAGGATATTGATTAAGCTTTTAGCACTTGGGAGAAAACAAGACGAACAGGAATTATGTGAACTAAGCTTAAAGTCCATCACCTTCACTAAACTCACACTTGGGTTTTATCCACATCATTTCCAAACTTGTTTTGGGCAAATGAGTAACCTTTTCTTTCAAAACTGCTGTGTGGGAAATACTTGCACTTTCAAGAAGACTCAAATACCAACAGGCTCTGCCCAGATCAGACTAGGAGAAATCAGAGAAACTGCCCTCCCCCAAAGTGTCCCAGAAAGCTCGGAGTCATTAAAGGAAAAGTACTTTCCTCAACTTTAACTGAAAATATTCATATTAATAAAAACAACCACAACTGCGTGCTAGAGGCTGTTTTAGGTAATTTCCATGTGCAAACCCATTCGACCCTAAAAATAGTTGCAGGAAATGGGTGCCATCACTCTTGTGTTGCAGATGAAGAAATGAGGCAAGCAGAACTCTTGAACGTCATCAAGGCTATGTGGTTTCAACAGGTAGAGCATTTCTCACCTGCCAATGGGTAAGGCATTGCGGATGACCCTCTGACTGCCTCGGGTGTATTCAATGTCCACTGTGATGGGGGCAGAGTACGTCATGTCCCTGAGACGGCACTGGAACAGAACGACACAGTTACTGCTTCTCCTCTTGGGACACAGAGGGTCCCTGTCACTCTACATGCCATCAGCAGACTTCGAGCTGTCCTACACTTTGACCCTTAGAGCTCTGGGAGTTCCCAGGCCACCTCGTCCACAACAGGATGATGCCATGCATGGATGCAGCAGACACTGTTACAGCATTCCTGGCCCTGCATGGAACCACAGGCGTGGGACAATCAATCTGCTACTCACTCTTTCCTCACTGATCTGATGCCATCAGAACCTGCTCCTTGATCTTCATTTTTTTTTTCAAAAAGAATTCTTTATTTGAAAGATGGCATTACAGAGATAGACATTTCCCATATGCTGATTCATTCCCCCGGAATGGCTGTGCACCACACCACATGACGCACGGTGGCAGAAGGGCTGGGGCACTGCCAACAGCTCAGCTTTGGGAGAAGCTAAGATGCTGCTTCCTGGGACTGCCACAGCAAGTGAAACCGCATGTACGGCATGGCATTCCATTTAGGTGCTAATTTCAGTCCTGGCTCTTCCACCTCCAACCCAGCTCCTTGCTGACACAAGAGGGAAAGCAGCAGATGATGATTCAAGTGCTTGGGCGCCTGCATCCACATGGGAGCTCCAGGGGAAGCGGCTGGTCCCAGCCTGGCCCAGCTCTGGCAGCTGCAGGAATCTGTGGAGCCAATCAGTGGATGGAAGACCTCACTCTCTGGAAATCTTCTAAATAAATAAATAAATAGATGAATATATAAATCTTAAAAGGAAAAAAAAAAAAAAAAAGGATGTTGCTCGTTATATTCGTGTGCCAGGAGTTCCTGGGTTCAAGCCCAGACTCTGCTTGTGATGCAGCCTCATGCTAACCTATGTGGGAGAACTGCACTGAGTCCCGGGCTGCGGGTTTCCACCTGACCTAGTCCAGGCTGTTAATGGCATCCAGCAAATAGGCAGTGCCTGGAAAATCTCCCCTTCCCTTCCCTTAAGTCCCCCTGCCCAAGCAGACAGAAGATCTTAATTTCAAATAAATACTTCACATGTTTAGAAACAGTACATGTATAGGACACAGTTATACAGTTGTATAAAGGCCTGGCACAGGACACAGTGCTTATGTATTTTTGGTTTTCTTTGTCTCAGAAGGTTTCTTCTGATCTACTTTTCAGTCATCTTTGAAGATCTTTTAAGATGTATTAAGGAAATATTCTTTGAGGCAAAGCAAACAAGTCCAATTAAACTGAGGTTGGTAATTACCTCATGAGGGGACACTGGCCTGGTTACATTGAAACTCTCTTCAACATCAGGAAGCCCGACATAGATATTAAGATACCTGAACAGCAAAACAGTCCGTTAGCATCACAACTCTTCAAAAGACATACAAATAAATAAGCCACATCCCCAAACACATGGATTGTGCTTTGACAAATGCTACATATGAGCTACATACGAGAATGACAAAAAAGTAAAAAATTATAACTACAAAAAAGGCACAGGGCCCGACAGAGTATCCTAATGGCTAAAGGCTTCTCCTTGCCTGAGCTGGATTTCTCCATAAGATGCTTATTAATTACGAAAGGGAAAACAGTCACGTCACAATGGAGAAATCTGGCAGACAACACCTCATTCATTAAGTGAGCAAAGTTAAAACTGCCAGTCAAAATCACTCTGGCACCAGCAATGAGACGAGCGACAGTGGCACAGAGCATCACGTCCTTGCCACTCCTGCCAAAAGGACTAACCCAATTGAGTCCTGAGCAACTATCACACCAAGCCAAGTGGAAGGACCTCCCAGTGCCTGACCAGATGGCTCAGCAGTATCAGAGTCAAGACATGGGAGATGACAGCTGAGGGGACAAAGAAAACGAAAGAGGCCACGGGGTCCTGACCCGATTCCCGGACTAGAAGAAGGGTGTCAGCAACCAAGGTCAAAGGAAGGTTGACAGCCTTGTATCAGTGATAACTTAGCTCAGCTGGATCATTCTGCGGTTATCTAAGACCTTAGCAGCAGCAGAAGCAGGGCGAAGCACATATGCAAACTCTTTTTGCTAACTATGTACTATTTCTATGAATTTTAATTTTTTTTTTTACAATACAAATTTGTTCAAAGTATCTTCTTTTATTTTTTAATTTTTAAGAATGATTAATTTATTTTTATTGGAAAGTTAGATTTACAGAGAGAAAGAGAAATAAAGAGAAAGATCTGTCATCTGCTGGTTCACACCTCAAGCAGCTGCAATGGCCAGAGCTGAGCTGATCCGAAGCCAGGAGCCAGGAGCCAAGAGCTTCTTCCACACTTCCCACATGGTGCAGGGTCCCAAGGTTTTGGGCCAACCTCTACTGCCTAACCAGGCCACAGGAAGGGAACTAAATGGAAAGTAGAAAAGCCGGGATACAAACTGGCACCCATATGGGATCCTGACACATACAAAGCAAGGATTTAGCCACTAGGCTATCAAGCCAGGCTCAAAATACTACAATCCAATAGTTTTGATAACTTGAGTCATAACTCTAGTTGTCTTACTTAGTTCACCAATTAAAAATTAAATCTGAGGGATGGGTGTGGTGGTATAGCAAGCTAATCCTCAGCCATGTAGTGCTGGCATCCCATATGGGTGCCAGTTTATGTCCTTGCTGCTCCACTTCTAATCCAGCTCTATGCTTATGGCCTAGGAAAGCAGAGGAGGACGGTCCAAGTGCTTGGGAGCTGGACCCATGTGGGAAGCCTGGAGGAGGTTCCTGGCTCCCAACTTCAGATCCACTCAGCTCTTACCACTGTGGTCAATTTGAGAGTGAACCAGCAGATGCAACATCTTCTCTCTCCATCTCTCTGCCTCTCCTCTCTCTGTAAAATCTGAGAGAGGTGAAGATGCTAATTAGCCGCTAAGATGCCGCACAGCTGTTAAAATGTCATATCTCGTATCAGAGGGCCTGGGTTCGAGTCCTGGCTCTGCTTCCTGTTACTGTGTACCCTGAGAAGCATCAGGAGGTGGTTACAGTCTCCCAGACCAAGGCCTCGGCTCTTGGCTTCAGCCTGGCCCAGCCCTTGGGGATTCAACCAGCAGATGGAAAGATCTCTTTCTTTCTGCCTTTTAAATAAAAATTTTAAGTTTTACAATTTACACAAATTGGACCTAACATGGTAGCCTAGTGGCTAAACTCCTTGCTTTGCATGTGCTGGGATCCCATCTGGGCACCAGTTCATATCCCAGCTGCTCCACTTCCCTCCCAGCTCCCTGCTTGTGACCTGAGAAAGCAGTGGAACATGGCCCAAAGCCTTGGCAACCTGCACCTGCGTAGGAGATCTGGGAGAAGCTCCTGGCTCCTGGCTTCAGATTGGCTCAGCACTGGCCATTGCAGCCACCTGGGGCGTGACCCAGCAGATGGAAGGTCTTTCTCTCTGTAAATCTGGCTTTCCAATACAAATAAATAAATCTTAAAAAAAAAAAAACCTTACACAAATTAAAATGGGGGCATTTTTAAAATGGTCTTACTAGACAGATTAAATAATGATTACGGAACAGCAGCTACATTCACTTTGAAAACTGTAAGACATAATCAGAACAGCAAAAGGAGATGAACGGACTCCTTACTTTAAGTACCACATGGGGTCGGCATCGCTCGTAACCTTTTCGTTGGCCTTCATGATCTTCTTTATCTGCAGGGGAGAGTGCGACATGAGGAAGGCGGCCAGCTCCCAGGGGTCCCAGCCCGGCCAGTCCTGAGCCGGTGCTTACCTCCACGTTAATGAAGTAGTTGAAGGAATCTATGTGCTGCTTCACCAGGCCTTTCACCTGAGGGGCACAACAGCACAGATTACGGATCAAACGCTAACCATACTTGATGCTCTCCTGAAAACTAAAGCACGAGGAAAGATTCACAAATTTCAGTTAGTGGAGAAAAAAAATATTTTTCTACTAATAAAGCTTAAATAATTGCCCTGGAAATCAAAAGCAGGATGAAACTCAGGAAACGGAAATCTCCTTCTAATCACCTAGCACAACACTTTCGAGCCATCCACGTCGAGGCCTGGGTCAGCACTCGCTTGTCTCCCATCTCAGTCTTCCACGGTGTGGATACACCACATTCATTCGCCCGTCGGTGGAGGGCCACCCGTGCTGTTTCTACCTTCTGGCTAACATGAGTAAGGCTGCCAGGACCGCTGTACACAAGCTTTTATACAGATTTGTGTTTTCGCTTCCCTTGGGTACAACTGCCAGTCCATATGGTTAGCAGCCAGGCTGTTTTTCCAAAGTTGCTGCAACCACTTTTTCTTTCCAACCAGTACAGCATGAGATTTCCAATACTACGCATCTTTTCCAACACTTATTATCTTATTTATAAATTACAGCATCTTAGCAGGTGTCAAGGACCTCTTATGCACTACATTTTAGCCTAAGTTCTTACAAACTGAAGTGAAGCCTTCCGCCTCCTGGACTTGTTGCTGTTCCTCGGGTAGAGCATGCTCACTGAGCCATACTCCCTGGACTGACCCTTCCGGCTTGGGTAACCCCTCAGGCGGGTGGCCCTCCCTGACCCCGGTGGCATCAGTCTCCTGCCAACAGTCCCATGCCATGCTACTAACCACTGCTAACACGTCTAACATCAGACCACCCCTCTCCCAATCAGCACCTCGGAGGCGGAGAGCGTGCCCTCCGCTTCTGTCAATCTGCAAAATCCACCAAAGTACACAGTTGTATAATGTAAAAGAACAAGCAAAGGTACTTGGTGATAAAATTTCAATCTTACAATAAGGTGATTTCCTTACTTTTTTCATCTGGAAAGCGTTCGATTACTAATAAAGGTGAAACAGTTACCTTTAAAAATGCTGGAAGCAGCCTCCATTTTTCCTGCGAATCAAAACAAGAAGAATATCAGAACCCTAGGCCAGTAATCATAAAATAGCAAATAAGAACTTCCTTTGCCACAGGAGTTGCACTCCAATGAAAGGTTGTTTTCTGAGTCATTAAAGAGAAGTTATGTTGAGGTACTAAAATGACTTTATCAGAGTGAGCAAAACAAAAATCGAAGAAAATTTTTAAGTTGTAACTGCATTTATGGAGTTGATCTATGTGTACATATATGAATACATTTGGGCTTCTAAAAGTTCATGAGAAATGGAATGAGAAGACAAATAGTGGGTGGGCACAGGGTGGGCACTCGGCACCAAGTCTGACGCTGACTGGGTAACCTACAGCTCACTCCCAGAGCCTGAGCGCAGTCCAGACGCTGCTTCCAATGCCAGCTTCCACCAGGGCACAGCTATCTTTGGAAGCAGCAGCAGTTGGCATGTGGGTTCTGCCATCCACACGGGATACCAGAAATGAGTTCCTGCCACCTGGCTTTGGCCTGGTCCAGCACCAGCTGTTGAGCTTTGGGAAGTGAACCAACAGATGGAAGACGTGTCTGTCTCTCTGCCTTCCAAATAAATACATGAAACATATTGTATTACGAAATGTTCTCAAATCCATATTTTTGCAGTATGCATTTTTTAAAGATTTATTTTTATTGTAAAGTCAGATACACAGAGAGGAGGAGAGACAGAAAGGAAGATCTTCCGTCCACTGATTCACTCCCCAAGTGGCCACAACGGCCAGAGCTGAGCTGATCCAAAGAAACCTCTTTGGGGTCTCTTCTGAATCTCCCACACAGGTGCAGGGTCCCAAGATGGGTGATTCTTGACCACTTTCCCAGACCACAAGTAGGGAGCTAGATGGGAAGCAGGGCCTCTGGGATTAGAACCGGTGCCCATATGGGATCCCAGAGCACGCAAGGTGAAGACTTTAGCTGTTGAGCTACTGCGCTGGACCCTGTAATATGCATTTTCTACTCATTTTCTGAAGCCACTCATACATACACACACATGTTTCATAAACAGAATTTAATCTCTTTTTCATAATTCCAGATTCCAAGTACTTTTCCTATTTTATTTCACTCCCCTGGCACTTGTTGAATAATTGGGGTTTTCCAGTAGGAGAAAGGGGAGGACAGGACTCACAGAGCCTGATGGAGAGGCAGGGTCTCTGGCCCTATGGGAAGTCTCCCAGCACCCCTTCCCCAAATTCTCAACCAGCATCTACTCAGAGCTTACCTCTGGGCCAAGGACGAGGCGCATGATGCGCCCACCTACTGCAGAGTTCCTGGTGCTTTCTATACCTCCTGAGGCTGCAAATGGCCTCCACAACAGCCCCTCGTGCCCTCTAACAAAAGGACGAAGGTCCTGAGCACAGGGGACCAGAGCAGCTGACACACTGCACAGGGTCCCTCCGGCTGCTGGGCTGTGGACAGGCCAGGGGAGCAGCGGGGAAATCACGCAATAACTCACTGTAATCCTTGATCCTGGACACACCAGGGTAGAGTCTAGCCCTGGCCACTGCCCCTCCTTCTCTCTCTTCCTCTCATGCTGTAAGCCTGCCACTCAAATAAGTAAATAAGTAAATACTAAAAACAAAAACAAAACAGTGCAGGAAGAGAGAACATGTGAGCTAGGACACACAAGTTGAGGTTAGAGTCAACAGGATCTGACAATAGTTCAGACAGATGCTAAAAGGGTTATCAAAGTCAACTCCAAGGTTTTTGCCATGAGCAATTGGAGCGAAAGAGTCACCCATGGTGGAGACAGGAACAGGGCGGGCACAGCAGGCTTTGCTGTGGGGAGCTCCTAGGAGCTGCAGGCAAACAGGTCTGGACCTTGGAACTAAGGAGCCTAGAGATCCATGTAAGGGAGGGTGGCAAACAAATGGCAACTAAAGTCATGTGACAGGTGAGGTCACCTACGCAGTGACAGAAGCTCCATGCAGCAAGACCCAGGGCATTAATAATGATAAGAGAGGAACAGAAGGCAGACTGCAGGAGACTGAGTGGGAGGGCATCAGACAACCTGGAGACAGCAAAAAAACAGGAAATTAAAAAGCAAAATACAGGGCCCAGCACAGTAACCCAGCAGCTGAAGTCCTTGCCTTGTATGCACTGGGATCCCATATAGGCACCAGTTTAATCCTGGTGGCTCCATTTCCCATCTAACTCTCTGCTTGAGGTTTGGCCCAAAGCCTTGGGACCCTGCACCCGTGTGGGAGACCCAGAAGAAGCTCCTGGCTGCAGATCAGCTCAGTTCCAGCCACTGCGGCCACTTGGGGAGTGAACCAGTGGACAAAAGATCTTCTTCTCTGTTTCTCCTCTTCACTGTATATCTGATTTTCCAATAAAATAAGTAAATGTAAAAAAAAAAAAAAGCACAAAATAGTCTCAAAATGGGACTCAGGTAAAATTAGCTGTGATCATAGAAATGAAAAAGATGGTTATATGGAAGATCACCCCTGGAAATCAGCCTGCTCCCTGGTGGGGGTAACTCAGGGCTTACCTGCTCATGACCTGTGCTTGTGGAATCTGACCTGTGACACGACTGCAGGGTCTAAAGGCACAGACGTGACTTCTAGCCACTTACAATGTCACTGTTGGGTAGGGGGGCTGTCTGGACGCCTTCCTGCCTTCCCCTTTTCCTAGCCTACGTAAGCTGTACTGTACAATCAACAGAGATCTCCATCAGGCTGTCCCCCTCGGTGGTCTCCGGGGCCTACCGGCAGGAAACACTCCCCCTCCCCAAGCTGGCTGTGGAAGCCAGACTGAGTGGGTCACCGGTAAGGGAAATGTCTGAGACGGTGGAAATGCTCTTGGCACAGTCAGCTAACAGCATCCAGAGAAATGTAAGTATCAAAACCAATGCATCTGAACGTCTTAGAGTTGTGCATTTCATTATATATGTTACATCGGAATTTTCACCTGTTGTCTCGTTCCTCAAGCAGCTATACAGCTGCAGGAAGACAGCTGATTGGATCGGCAGGCCTAGTTTAAGGAGATACCTCCAGGCAGGAGTGGAAACAATGGACAAATTCTATAGACAGGCTTACCGGAACTCCCATGACGTACATGTAAATTCCTCAAGCCCTCCTCCTTATCCTCAGTCTATAAACGCATTTAGATATTAATAAACTTCAGCTACTGACCATCAGTCAGTAAATAGTCCACGCGTGGTTATCGGCTTAGAGCTACGTGCACAGAGCCCAGCATGACCAGGAGCTTCTTCCAGGTCTCCCACGCGGGGAGCAGGGGTGCAAGGACGTGAGCCATCCTCTCTGCTCTCCCGGGTTCATTAGCAGGAAGCTGGATCGGCAGTGGAGCAGCTGTGTCTTGAAGCAGAACCCGTACAGCATACTGGTTGGTGTTACCCGCAATGGCTTTAGCTGTTACAGCACGGTGCAGGCCCGCAGGGCTGTGTGTCTGCCCTCACCAATCAAACCTGGGAGCTGGAGTCCAGCCTGCCAAAAGCCCCAGACTTCACACGGACTGTGACGCAGCCGTGTAGCACTGAACTCGCGAACCTTCCTGGTCACAGATGTGCTCAATAACAAGACACGCCATGGGGAACCTCTAAGTCCGCAGGAAACGCTGGCTCCTGGCCTGAGCGGGGTTAAAACCCGGCACTGCCCGTGGGCAGCGGGCACTGCACGCGCTCACACACTGAATCTCATGAACTGCTCCTTAAGCCTAGTGACAACTTGTTAATAACCCCACAGGGGAGCGAACCACCGTTGTCTCTGTGCCATTCAATTGCGTGATTTTTTTTAAAACGGTGCATTTTCAGGAAATTGTCAACAGCTGCACTGCATCGGGCAGCTCACCAGACCTGCAGGCAAGCCTTGGGGCTCGTCCCCGGAAAGCACACAGGCCAACACGCGAGCTGATATTCGGGGTGTTGGAACTGTGGGCTGAGAGGAATGCTGAGCAGCTTTGGGGTTCAGACTCCCTGGAACTCAGGGTCCTCTCCTTGCCCACAAGGACGCCATGCGTCTCTCAGCGCGGGTACGGGGGGCTGTACTAGAAGGTTCCAAAAGGAAGGGGTTCCATCCGCCACACGTCAACGCCGCCATTGTCCCGGCCCCAGCGGGCAGCTGCGGGCACACGGCCTCGCACGCGGAGCTCTGAGCATGCGCGGGCGCCCTGAGCATGCGCCCCGGCGCCGGCCCGCCCCCGCCGCAGCCGGGCTCCTCGGGGAACGCCCCCTGCGGGACGCGTCCCTTCCGCACCTCGCACGCCCGACACGCACCTTGACATCCGGGATCGGCGCGGCCAGCTCCTCCGGGCTCAGGTTTCCGAACTCCTCCGCGAGCTCGTCCATATCGCTCACGACGGAGTCACAAGCGGGCGGACGCGTCACGCTGGCCCTCCGCCGCGCCCCGAACCGCAGCTGCGCGCCGGCGGAACACCGCGCAGGCCTAAAGCGTCCCCGCCGCGCGTGTTGACAGAAGCGCGACAGAAAGGTTCCGCCCGCTCCCGGCCCTAACCTGAAAGGGAACCCGGATGTGGTCGAGGCTGAGACTGGGTACTGCGCGCGCCCCCTGGTGTAGCTCCGAGGTACTGCCCGAACAATTCCAGGATTTTTGCGAGGACCGGAATGAATGCGGTGTTAATGGCCTGGAAGCACCAGCAGATAATGCTGCAGCACCCGAATAAGCCACGTGGCTTAAAAAAAATGCATATAAGTAAATCCTATATGCATTAAGTATTTCATTATTAAAATCTTAGCGTGAAAATGAAATATTTTGTAATGTGGACACAGTGGAAGCAGCTGCCCAGAAGTCACAGAGGGTGTGTCAGTAAAATTCTAAACATGCTTTTACGATCCCTTGGAACCTTCAAAATTTTGTAAGCAGATTTTCAGAGGTTTTCTTCTTTTTAAGAAACACAAGGTGGCACAGTAGATAAAGGACTGATCCTTTTAGAGTGAGCTGTGTAAAGCAGTGGGGAAAAACAAGATACCATTAAGTGCTTAACAGATACAAAGTCGCCAGTGTGGGGAGCTGCATGAACCTTGGGAAACAGACAGCCCCTTCCCATCTTCCCGCATCAGCGCAGTGCCCTTGCCTCGGATCTTAGCTTGTTTAGCTCCTGGACACGCAGGTCTCAGGGCCTGGCACTTTGACTGCCCTGCACGTCCCCCGGCATCATGGCAGGACCCCGGTGGGAGAGAACCAGTTCCCATGACAAGACAGGAAGCCCCAGAGTAGGGAGGGGTCAAGCCCCGTGCCCCTGGTCACTGACCACCTACCCAGGGCCCATGACCTCCCAAAAGCCAAGTAGTGTGGACCAAACTTCCAACACATGCGCCCTCGAGGGCCTCCCTAAAACTCCGCCCAAACTGACTGTCTCATTGCTGAAAGAAATTTCCATGCATCGATTTCCCTAAGAATAGAAAATTAGGGCCTGATGCGGTAACCTAGTGGCTAACATCCTTTGTCTTTTTTTTTTTTAAAGATTTATTTATTTATTGGAAAGTCAGATATACAGAGAGGAGGAGAGACAGAGAGGAAGATCTTCTGTCCGCTGATTCACTCCCCAAGTAGTCGCAACGGCCGATGCCGATCCAAAGCCAGGAGCCAGGAACTTCTTCTGGGTCTCCTACACGGGTGCAGGGTGCCAAGGCTTTGGGCTGTCCTCCACTGCTTTCCCAGGCCACAAGCAGGGAGCTAGATGGGAAGTGGAGCTGCCAGGATTAGAACCGGTGCCCATATGGGATCCCAGGCGCATTCAAGGCGAGGACTTTAGCTGCTAGGCTACTGCGCCACACCGCCGGGCCCTAACATCCTTTGTCTTGTATGCACTGGGATCCTTTATGGGTGCCAGTTAGTGTCCCAGCTGCTCCGCATTCCTAAGCCTTGGGGCCCTGCACGTGTGTGGGAGACCCGGAAGAAACTCCTGGCTCTTGGCTTTGGGTCAGCGCAACTCCAGCCGTTGTGGCCACCTGGGGAGTGAACCAAGAGATAGAAGATGTTTTTCTCTGTCTCTTCTCTCTGTAAATCTGACTTTCCAAGAAAAATAAATCTTAAAAGAAACAGAAAATGGATTCCTGCCCTGGAAGTTCTTGCAGCTGATGTTGACAAGGTATGTGAGTGTATATTGTCCTTGTGAGTTCCTGGAGAACCACCTGTTCGGAACTAATAGGGGAGGGGCTGGGAAGCAACCGAGAAATGGCACGGGAATGCAGGGGGGTTCAGGTGGGGAGGCCTTTGTGCCCAGCATCCTCTTTTTTCTCTCCCATATTCGAGGTGGTTCTCTGACGACAGCAGGCCTTGGCCTGAAGAGCTCAGGAAAGAATGTGAAAGCAGCAAGCAGAAACCCCAGGACTGTTCCTGGATTTTTGCTCCCCAAAGTCCAGCTCCTTAGAGGATAAAGCAAACAAAAGTCCTGACCTTGACCTGGAGTACACATATAAGGCAGAAAGCATTGCCAGCCTTCAATGATTCACAGAAACAAAACTAAGGGAAAAAACAAATATAAGAGATGTATTTTGGTGCAAAAGACAGCTTTGAGATACTAGGCATTTTTTTCCCATGACATGCATTTTTATGAACTTTTCAAAGAGCTCTCCTATGCATGGATTTCAAATATTTCTGCACCAAAGTTAATTTAAAAGGCATGTCCACCCTAACTAGTGACGGACTCGATCGTATTTTCTCCCTTGGAACGTTTGATGTGAGCACACACCCATGGGGCGGGCAGCAGAAGCTGAAAACCAAGCGCAGAGTCAGCAACCAGTAGCGGTACAGCAGCGAGAATTACTTGTGATTAGCTGGCCTAAGGAGACCATATGGAGGCTCCCTTGGGTTCCCACACACTTAATAGCGCTGTGACCTTGAGGGGTACCTTAGCCTAATTAAATTTCAGTTTGCATGCTTAGAAATAATAACAGAGCGAGCCTGACAGCATGTTGTAGGGTACAGGAGAGGAGTTCTCCATGAAGGGCTTAGGCTAGCCCTTGCATAGGACAAGTGCTTGGTACTTTTTGTTTGCTGAAAGATATATATGTTCAGGTTAAAATGGAGGCTCTTGAGACAAATTCATGGATTTCAGGATTTTTTTTTTCCCTCACTTTGTAACAAATCCCATGTTCCTTTCCCTTCAATTCGAAAGCGTGTCACACAGTCGTCTTAAAATGAAAAGATAAAACTTCATTTTGAAAATAAAGGATAAGAGGGCACAAATCGATAATACAAATCCATTTGTGAAAGACTTAATCACGGAGGGTAAAGCCGTAATCACGAACTGAAATTGGAACACGCTGGATGTTGCCACCAGCCTTTGCAGCTGCCTTCAAGGACGACAGCCACACTCACGCACGCCCCCGGGGGTTTCTTTGCCAATGACAGTATTGGGTTTAATAAGCCATGGTGCTGATGAGATATGACAATTTTTGTTCTTACGTGCTTAAGCACTTAATCACTGCATCTCAAAATACTAAAAACCGCCTGCAGCTTGAAAAGAGGTTCGGCACTCATAAATTACAGCTGTTATAATGCATTCTGGTTGTGTCATGCTTTGGAGTTTGCACACGGTTTCAAATATGGCACATCTGGGCCTGAGATCTGCCTGAGGCAGGCAGGCGTCAGGGTAGTGGCTAGAGGAGAAAGCTGAGGCCTGAGATGGAAAGGCTGAGCTCATACAGCTATTAAGTAGGAGCTGTAGTGAATTCCACTTCCTGCCTTGCTACTTTTACTAAACCATGAATGGCAGGCTTTGGGAGGTTAACATTCCCAGAGACAGAAAGCCACAGGCAGTAAAACAGCTGCCACAAACAGTGGCATTCCCCATGCTCAGTTGCTAAAGAACTAAAGAATATTTTATGGATCATTCTGAATATGATTTTAAAATCGTGTCAACAGTGCCCTGTGGAGTTATCACTGAAAGATCAGAAAAGATCCAAGATTTTAAACTTATTTGTAAGAAGCTCACTGGGGCTTGCTCAAGGAAGCTAAAGGAGTCTGAGGTAGAGCCTCCTAATGCTTACCAATATCCACGCCAGTTTCTTCCTCCTGGACACGTGTTCCAACAACCCTTGCAGGTAGGCGAGGAATACCAGTGCGCTCTGGCCTACGGAACACTGAGTAGAAGTGGGCGATCCGGGCCCAGCGCAATAGCATAGTGATTAAAGTCCTCGCCTTGCAAGCACCAGGGTCCCATATGGGCGCCAGTTCTTATCCCATCTAGCTCCCTGCTTGTACCTTGGGAAAGCAGTCAAGGAGGCCCAAAGCCTTGGGACCCTGCACCTGCATGGGAGCCCTGGAAGACCTCCTGGCTCCTGGCTTCGGATTGGCATAGCACTGGCCGTTGTGGTCACTTGGGGAGTGAATCATCAGACGGAAGATTTTTCTGTCTCTCCTCCTCTCTGTATATCTGCCTTTCCAATTAAAAAAAAAAATAGTGGGCGATCCTTTTCTTTCCTCTCTACTGAGTGAGTGGAGAGAACTCAGCAGCTCTAGAGGAAAGCTCGCTCACGAAATGGAAAGAAGCTGGGGCCCTGGATGCTGGAGTGGAGTAACCATGGCTCCCAAACCACCAGCCCCACCACCACCACCGAGTCCAGCCTTCCTCCTGCTTTGAGCTAATTGGAGAAGTGAGATTCTCCTGACGCCGCTGGGATGTGGGAGCAGTTTACCTACCATTCTGAGGAAGGTTGACTCTGTATCAACACTGCCGGTCTTTAATTCATCCTTGTGCCTTCTCAGAAGCCCTGCTGTTTCAAGCAGTCTTTTGCACATGCCTCAGGAATACCAAACAGCTAGTTGTGGACACTAATACTAACACTAAGCTAGTTGTGGGTTTCTTTTCATGCCTCAGGATACTCTTCCCTACTTGGGAGAAGCTCCTAATTGGATGATTGGGTGGGACCACAGGATCATTAGGGTCAATTACTTCTCTAACTCTACCCCTTGCATATTAACCCAGACTCAGTCATTGGGAACTTGGTATCTAGGACTCTAAATCTTAAGCAAATGAAGCAATGCAGCAAGGACAATTTTTGTTTGCTTGGTTTTTTTTTTGTTTGTTTGTGTTTGTTTTTTTAATGCACCTGTGAAGCTACAACACTGAGCCCAGCATGGCTGGATTCCCGCACCTGGCCCTGTCTTGGTTCCCACTAGTTTTCCAAGCCAGGTTCCTTTAAATAGATTCTGAGAGGTGCTTCACACCATCCAATCAACTCCTCTCCTGTTTCAGTTAACCCGGGTCCATTTCTATTGCTGGTATCAGGTGTTCATGTGGAAGCACGTATGTCCACAAACATTCACGGGCATTCCTTACACCACACACAAGTGCTCTTTGCCAACACAATCGTCTCAATACATTCGTAGTTTGTTTCTGATCTCCTCTTGACTCCAAGTATTTAGTGTCTCTTTCTCCCTCCCAAAAACATCTTTTTCCATCTCTTGTTTCAGCTGTCCTCATTTCACTCTTCTACCTTCAGCTGCTACCTGGACTTACCATTTATCTCCAATACTCTATTTCCTATGCACTTGGCCTGTTGTATTTTTCCTTTTCTTGGCCTCTTGACAAATTCCTATAAATCCCTCATGTTTGAACTCAAGAATTATCTTCTCCATGAAATACAAGTTTGAGGATATTTTTCTCTAGCACCATGCACATTTATTTGATAATCTTTATGATACTCAAATTGTTCCTAAGTTTGATCTTCTTACTCAATCATTTGGGAATAAGATCTATCTAACCATGTATCACAACACCTAGGACACCTGGCATGGCAGATGTCCTATCTGTTGTATTGGCTGATTGAATGTCTTAATGTCTGGAAGGACCTGCTAAATAGTGCAAGATTTATTTGAAAACAATAAAAGACTGGCCAGAGGATCGGTGCGGTGACGTATCAAAATAAGCCTCTGTCTGTGGCTTTGGCATCCCATTTGGGCCCTGGTCCAAGTCCTAGCTGCTCCATATCCAACCCATCTCCCTGCTTATGACCTGGGAAAGCAGTGAAAAATGGCCCAAGTCCTTAGGCACCTCTACTCACATGGGAGACCTAGAAGAAGCTCCTGGCTTGGACCAACCCAGCCTCCGCCATTACAGCCATTTGGGGAATGAACTAGGAATGGAAAATCTCTCTCTCTCTCTCCCTGACCTTCTACCCCCAAATCTCTGTCACTCTGCCTCTCAAATAAAAAAAATAAACGAATCTTAAAAAAAAAAAAAAAAGACTAGCCAGGAGTAGCTGTTTAGTGTAGTGGCTTAGATACACACTCTGCATTGGAGTACCTGGGTTCAACTCCCAGGTTTACCTCCTGAGTAGCTTTCTGCTTCATGTCGATCCTGGGAGGCAGTGGTGATGGTTCAAGTAACTGGGTTCCGGCTGCACATGTGAATTCCAATTTTGGCCCTTTCCAAGTCCCAGGTACTGTGGGAATCTGAGAAGTGAACTAGTGGACGGAAGTCCTCTCTGTGTGTGAGCATAATGCAAAAACATCTGGCCATCCAACACTCTAGCACAAAGATACCCAAAAATACCCAAAAGTGGCTTAAAAGACAGACACCGGTTATCTTGAAATAATTCTTAATATTTTAAAATTTAGATGAATGCACACAATACATGTTTTAGCAGAAGAATGAAATAGATGTATATGGTGTTTAATAAAACTTACATTACAAAACATGACCATGTTAGGAAAACCTCAAAAGTATAGGTAAATATTTAAGTAAAAACTAAATAAACAGCATGCTAAAGGATATGATTAAAAAGTGATAATAAATGCAGTTGCTTAAATCCAGACTTGAGACATTGAAATTGACTTTGCCACTTTAAAAGGAAAAAAAAAAAAAGCAGAATGCCCTTCATTTTAAATGTATTTTTAAAAATGTTTGCACATGGTTTCCCTGCAGGCAACTGCAGTATAATCAAGTATATAAAAGAGTATCGGCTAGATTGCAGCCTGACAATAAAAAGCATAGCACGTGTTAACAACACAGCTCTCCTCAGAAAGCAACCACTTACATGGCATCAACGTTATCTTCGCACGCCAGAGCCTCCCTGCCGCCCACAGCCCAAGCTGAGCACAGTTCTAAACTACTTGAGCTCCAAGAGAAAATGACAGTACAAGTTTTCAGCACCTTCGGGTTTCTAAGCAGAGGGAAAAGCTACGGGTAAGACCAATGCTGTGTTCTTCAGTAGGATTCCATGGACACACAGCTAACCACACGGATAAAAGGACTGCCACATTTGGGAATTGTGAATAATAAAATTTCTTAAAATGTTGACACATTCCCCAAAAAGTGAAGGCTGCAGCCGATTCATTGCCACAACTGTTTCCTAGAACTTCATGGAGTAATGAAGCAACGCTCCACGGGGTGAGGTTGTGCTGAGGAAATGGGAGCTGGGGGAAAAAAGAAATATTCCTTTTTATTTCCTATGTATTTTTCCCTACCAAGTCACTAAGATTCACTGAGTTCTTAGTGAAAAAAAAAAATCAATCCAAATGAACATCCCCAAGTTGCAGCACTTCCCTCAGCACTCCTGATCACGTAGGGTTCTCTAGAATCCCCGTGAGCGTTAGCACTCAGGCTCTGATGCCCAAGCCTACTGCTAATGACAATGATACTGAGAACAGCATCTTGGTCCTAACGTGGTAAGGATTCAATCCGCACAAAAGGTATTTGCTAACAAAGTTACATATGGTTAAAAAAATACAAATTTTTAGATGTGAACTTCATAAGAGAATAGGCTCCTATTTTATTGTTAGCTTCCTTTTATCTTCTAATAAGTAAATCAATTCAAACCAGTCCTGCCTTACATAGAAAATAGTGAATTCCTATCAATGGCCTGAGAAATTCAAGGACGTTCACAAAGAGATTTGTGCAAAACTCATTTCTCCCAGAGAGCAGATGGATTGTAAGAAACAAATTTCTACAAGTTTAGAAGAGAAGTTTTCCCTAGGATCTGTATACAGCATTAAAATGTACTTAATAAACTCAAATTCTAAATAAATACTGACAATTGATATCACCAAATATGATTTGGTACTTTTGTGCAATTTTAGGACTTACTGTGTAAGTTTCTAATACACATGAACAAAATGTAATTGTAATTCATTTATTCAGAACAATAGTTCCCTCGGCTATTCTTACCACTTTCAAGAAGTTGTGCCCGAATTAAAAATCATTAGATTTAAGAATAACTAAGGGAGCAAACAACTCTTAATGAGTTGAAAGAATAAGCCAAGTCTAAGTGCTTAAGAAGACATTTAGAAGTCTTACATAGGTAATATAATTCATTACAAATTGCTTTGTTCTTTAAAAAAATCTGTTTTAAACATAAAAATGATGCACAAATAGGGTCTATGTGATGCGCATGTCTTCTGTAATGCTACCATTACTGAATTACACCCCAGATGGCACTGAGAATGTGCCACATCCATAATGCCATTGATGGAAGGGACTGGGTGCTGGAGTGCTGGTTTTCCGATCTCCTATCCAATGCCAGTTCCACATTAGCTGGAAGGAGGTGAGGCAAGGCCCTTCCCCTCGGCTTCCTCGCTGAAGAGCAGCTTTCGAAATATATTTGCATAAAATGGTCCATACACTTGCTTGTTGAGATTCACAATGCTTGCATATTGAGAGCCCAGTGCTTCTAGCTCCTGCTGAATGACAGCAAGGCCTCCTGGCATAGGAGGCAGACATTTTTGAGGGCTTGGAAGACAAAGTAGGCTTTTCATATATTGTTGGATTCGTTTGTCTGGAGGTGGGAGAAAAAGATATTTTGACTCTGTACCATTATTAAAGTACATAATTTGTAAAATAAGAAGAAATACTGACAATGGGTTAACAACAATAATGTTAAATCTTCACCCTTTGTGTACCCGAACTTTTCACAAGGTGGTATTCGATTCCTCCATCAGGAGTGCAGTCCTTTCCCCATCCTTTGGATCAAGCTCATGCTATGACTTGTGAATGCAGTGGACATACTGGCATGTCAGTTCCATATAGGCCTAGGCTCAAGAGGCACGAGTCACATCCGCTCTGAGCAGGAAGGAGAATCCCAGATAACATACACGGGTCCAGCCCTTCTTATATCCCAGGGGTCTCTTTCAAGTACTTAATTAACTCTAATTACTTCTTAGGAAGAAAAGTAAGAGTTATCTAAATACCAAATTTCTCTTCTAACTGATTATAGATGATCCAAACACTCTCTACCCAGGAGGCTGGCAAAGAAGGCTGATGTGGTGAGGTGGGTAAAGCTGCCACCTGCAACACAGGCATGTGACACGGGCACTGGGTCGTGCTGTGGCTGCTCCCTGCTTGGCAAAAGCAGAGGACAACCACCCTAGTGTTTGGGTCCCTGCCACTATGTGAGGCACAGGTGACACCCCTAGCTTCTTCCAGGTCCAGTCATGACCATCTGGGATTGAACCAGCAAATGGAATATCTCCATATATGTGGTCAGCCTTTCAAATGAATAAAATCTTGTTTTTAGGAAATTCATTTGAAAGAGTCATAAAGAGAGGGGGAAGGAAAAAGAGAGCATGAGTTCTTCTGCCCACTGGTTCACTTTCCCAGTGGCTACAATGGCCAGGGCTGAGCCAAGCCAAAGCCAGGAGCCAGGAGCCTCACCCAAGCCTCTCAAGTGGGTGCAGGGGCCCACACTTGAGCCAGCTTTTACTGCTTTCCCAGGCACATTAGCTGGGGGCTGGATGGGAAGTGGAGCAGCCAGGACTCAAATAGGCACCCCTGGGATACTAATGCCATAGGTGGAGGATTTACCCTTTATGCCACAATGCTGACCCCATGGATTAATCTTAGTTTGTACAATGTAAGACTTATATTATTTTAAATCACTGAAGTAACTTATTTTTAAATTGCACAGTGCTGAAGCCAATCTAAAAAAGAATCAAACTCAGCACATTGCAATATCATCAATGAATTATCTTAATAGTTTTCTACACATGTGCATAAATTAAGTAAAAAAAAAACAGCAGGGGCTGGTACAGTGGCTCAGTAGGCTAATACTCTCCTGTAGTGCCAGTATCCCATGTGGGCGCCAGTTCTAGTATCGGCTGCTCCACTTTCCATCCAGCTCCCTGCTTGTGGCCTGGGAAGCTGTAGAGGATGGCCCAATTCCTTGGCCCCTACACTCATGTGGGAGACCCAGAGGAAGCTCCTGATGCCCCTTGCTTTGTATCGGTTCTGCTCCAACTGTTGTGGCCATTTGGGGAGTAAACCGGCACATGGGGGTCTCCTCTCTTTGTCTCTCCTTCTCTCTGAGACTCTTCCTTTCAGATAAAATGAATAAATCGTAAAACAAAAGACCCAAATCTGTTAGTATGCAAAACAAGTGGTTCTGTCTGCTCTGCAGCTTAATCAGTTTTCAGAGCAAAACTAAAGTGACAGGAGCATTTGTCCAGTTAGGAGCAGACAAACAGAATCAGTCAAAGGTGTGTCTGGCTCCCAGAGTTGAATGCGAGAATGAAGTTGCTGGAGTTTCTAGGACAACAGTACTTTCAATGAGACAAAAACAAAAGAAAACAAAAAGCTTTCAATTTTCAAAAGGTTAGGGAAATAGGCTGGGGAAAATTGGGTGGACAAAAGTTGCTTTGGTGCACTGTGAGAGGCCACCTCTGGGTGGGGCATCTCTGGCTCTCAGCGTCCCTCTCCCTTCTGACGCTGCCAAGTGTCTCCTTTCTCTAGAGCACAAGCAGAGCCCACTCTGACGTTTTCAGCCACCCTGCCAACAAGCAGCAGAGCTCCCACTGATTGAAGCCTCAAGTCAGAGCAATTAGGAATGTGGGCACTGGCGTCAGCCAGGCTGGGGAAGAACCCAGCGCTGCCCTCAGCTAGTTATGTGCCCTTCAGTCATCTATTTAACCTCGTCACCAATGAAGACTCACCAATCAAGGTCCTAATAGGATGATCCTGTTCCTCGATGCTTGAAAACTGACCTACGAGATTAGCTTGCACCTCGGCATTTAAAGTGGGTAACCCTCTGTCCGTCAGGCTCTTGTTGACCTCAACACAAGTCTGAACGCCGACTGAGTTCAGGGTTTCTTTCATGTTAAAGGTCCTATAACACATAAAATAAAAGCCCATCAGGGAAATTTTTTCTTCAAAAGATTTTAAAAATACACTGACCTGTTTCAGATATCCACCATTTTTCTATTATACTGACAACAGTTGCCTCCATCAGAATAAACTTAGAAAAGAGTCACTCCTCTCAATCACCAGCTTTCATATAGAGCAAGTTTTGAAATATTCAGAATCACCCGATGGTTTAAGCAGTGCTGAAATAGGAAAGCAGAAGTAGGAAAATGTGGTCTTTACAAATAAATCTGCAGCCCTGACAGCCAGGCTATCAGAAAGGAGCAGAAAATACCAAGTTACTTCTTAAAACAAACCCTTTGCCTGGGTGGACTCAGTCATTCATTTAATTTTTAAAGTGCCTGGAAAATAAAAATGGGATCAATTCATTTGTCTGTGTTTGAAAAGCAGTTCTATAACACCAATCAAAACAACAACGATGTTCAGAAATCAAATTATCTAAAACTTGTGATTGAACATGATCAGAGGAAATAAACACCTTACTCTAGTTAATTCCAAATAACCGAGTAATAATCCCAAATATATAACAAGCAGGAAATGGTGATGAGCACCTAAGGAGCAGGTTAGATAAATGATATGGAAAAAGAATTCTTGAGGGCAGTTGCTGGATCCACTTATTAGGGAATGAGAATTAAAAATTGTGTCTCACTAATCAGAAAAGATCTATAAGAAAATGCTGTGAAGATGGAAATGAAAGGATGAGAAAAGGGCCCAACGATTCGATGGCAAAGGTAGAATAGAAATCACGCAGTCATGGGGACCTGGGTTCAAATCCTACTTCTCCCACTGAACTTGTTGTATGCCTGTGCTAGTCTGCAGCAAATGTTTAATCAGAAGGAAAAACAAAATGCTTTTGATTAACATGACCATTAATAGTAAAACAATTAAAACCTGACTGGAATTCATTACACACCCACACTGGGCCTCCCTCTGGAGCTCCAGAATCTGCAGGAATAGACTGTTAGGGGCAACAATTACCCCCTGAGACTTTTTACCCACCTCAAGGCATGGCCCTAACTTTCTCCTGCTTTTAACTGGTGTGTTCTTAGGCTAAAGAAATATTAACTTTTTAATTTAGGTCAAGGCTTTCTATTCCATAGTGGAAAATGCAAACATTTTTTTTTTTGCTAGCTTTTAAGATGCATTATGAAATCAAATTTCAGTGAGAGCTGGGCTGACTGGGGTTGTTTGCTTTTTTACACTAGGGAGGCTTACCCCACCACAGTGAGGATAACTAAGAACTGACTCTAGTTCCTCACACAGAGTACAAAACTAGACAGAAAAAAATAAACGAGCCAGATAAGCAATCAGATGCAGCTATAGAAAGGATGACTTAATGATGCAACAGCTATGAACAGCTAATATTCCTCAAGTACATATGGTGTCCCAGACACCTGTGGTAAGTGCTTTACACAAATCTCACACTGCCAAGGTAGGTAAAGTTAGTTTTTACAAGCAAGGAAATGGTACTCAGAGTGATTCAGGAATATGCTAGAGCAAATGTAACAAGCCAATAGCAGAGCTTGGATTTAAACCTGGTAGGGCTCACCCAGAGGCCTGCCCTCATAGTAGCCATCTTCTATAGGCTTTATATGAATACGTAAGTAGCACTGAGTGTTGTCTACAGGCTTAACAGATAAAGACTTATGGATAATTAATGGTTACCCAGGATCGGGGAATGCTAAGATCAGATGAACTAAAAAGTTTTTTTTTTGTCAAAAAACTTGAGTCCTAGAATATAAAGAAACCTGGAGGCTGGCAGTGATGTAACAAGCTATTCCTCCACCTGAGGCACTGACATCCCATATGGGTGTTGGTTTGTGTCCCAGATGTTCCACTTTCCATCCAGCTCTCTGCTTATGACCTGGGAAACAGTGGAGGATGGCCCAAGGGCTTGGGACCCTGTACCCTCATGGGAGACCCAGGAGAGGCTCCTGGCTTCACACTGGCTCAAGCTCTGGGTATTGTGTCCACTTGGGAAGTAAACTAGCAGATGGAAGATCTTCCTCTGTCTCTACTTTCTGTAACTCTTTCAAGTAAAACAAATCTGGAAGGAGGAGGACTAAGGAATGAAACAAGGAGATAGAGGTGGAGGAGGAGAAGAAGGAACAGAAGAAACAGCAGCATCTGTCGCCTGGCCAGTTGGCACTAGTATCAGTAAAAAGGGCAGGACCTTGAGATAGTTAGACCTGGGATGAGAGGCTCAGGCCTTGAATTGCCCTTTTCTAGCAGTGCAGCCCAAAGCACATTCTATTATTTCTTCTCCTCTCTTATTTTCTATTCTATTCTATTCTATTCTATTCTATTCTATTCTATTCTATTCTATTCTATTCTATTCTATTCTATTCTATTCTATTCTATTCCATTCCATTCTACTCTACTTTATTCTTTGAGTATCAGCCAAAAAGGAGAAGTTTGCATTTTGCTATCACTTGGGCTCTTAATATTATAGGATTCTTATTAAATAATATATACACTTAATAAAGGTGGGAGGATGGGAAGTCAGACGCATTATCCTTCAATAGCAGGAATAAAGGGGACAGATAGTCTTCAAACACATGAAAGAGGAGCTCTCCCACACAAGACCTGTAGAAACATGGGGTTGTTGACCAAGACTGGACAGATTTCCACCCGAGGATTTCCAACAGGATGAACTAAATGCAAAAGCTAAGCTGGATGCTAACATTCAATGAAGGCTTGATGCAGGAGATGGATTTGTCCAAAAACAAAACTTCCACTGGACTTATGTGACGTCTCTGCAAGACAGAACTGTCACCACTTTCAAAGACTCCACAGCAAGGTCCATCAGGGAGGCCAGCAAACATGCCATTGCAGAGGTGGCAGTCATGAGCCCCAAGACCTGAAAACACTCTCTGGTAGGGCACTTCTTTTTCCATGGCATTGTTGAAGACAAGTTCTGGCACACACCCATCCCAAGTGGATATACTACACTCATCCTGTCACTTGTTATGGAAAACACCTTCCTATCAGAGAACATGTAAGCTTTCAGAGATATTCAAAGAAATTCTAGAAAAAGGCTGTGTAAGATAGACAAGCTTCCTTGCAGCTTGCTCCTGAATCCAGATGCCCAAGGTCATTCTCATTCTCTGAAACACACGCAGAAACTTAGCACAGAAGGGAGCACATACAAACATTTGGAACTTACTCTTTGTTCATGCCTTCAAGGAGAACAGCTGAAATCCTTTTTAACCTGTTTGCAAGCTCAGGCACGCCTTCTGTAATAGCACCCACCATGTTGTTGGTAATTAGGGAAAGACAGGCGATAATTTTCAATTGATTCAGCTTTTCTGTCAGTTCCTGAAGACGTGCTTCATCTGTCACGAGTGTCTAGCATATTTATTTAAAATGTAAAAATAAAAAGGGAAGCTCAATACCATGAAAATGCAAAAGAAGCAGTGCCATATACAAATTCCCCCTTTGATTGGTTTTCAGTAAAATCATGAAAACACATGTAACACAGACTGGTTTGTGGCATTCCAAGTTAGAAGTCAAATACTGAAAAATCTGGGGGAGGCAAAAATATTCACATACCTCTGGTAATTCTTTTTTCTGATAATCCCACTGTAACAGCTTCAAGTAACTGTTGTTTAGCACCAGTGTAGGACTCAGGCTTGGCTTGGAGCTGCTTTCTGCTCCAGGAGTTAAAGCAGTCTCAGAAAGAGAAAGCAGCTCTTCATTGACAGATTCTTCTATCCATTTTGTAGTTTCATCGAGAGCACCTGGGGGAGAGTCCACATGCTTGAGCTGTAGCTGGGGCCTCCCTTCCTTGTGCATTCTACCTGCAGATGCTATGTTACGTGCAGAGTATAGATGAAAACGCATAGCCAACCCATCCACCCCCCTCCCCAGTTCCTGCCAAAAGTTGGCAGTTCATACAAAGAAAAAGAGCTGTGAACTAACAATTATGATGGAATACAATGAATGCTATAAGGCTCAATGAAAGCGGAGAGAACAGACGTTGTCCATGAGAAGGTCTAAGAGGAAGAATTCTGTAAGTGCCACTTGAAGGGAAAGGCAGCTGGAAGAAAGGGCTGGCATTCGGAAGAGCAGCCTGCCTAAAACCTGGAATACAGGGTGAGTGGCATATTTTCAATGCTACAAGCAAACCTAGACTGCTGGCCCATAACAAATGAGGTAAACAGAAGCAAGTCACAGATGATCTTGAGTTTCATACAGAGATGGCATTTAGAAGCATAGTTATTAAGCATTCTTGGGTCATAGGCTCCTCTGATTGCCTGATTAGAGCTATCTATGCCTCTTCCAAGATGTCCATGCTCATATGCAGTGCCCACCAACCACTTTCATTCTCTTTTCAGATTCACAGACCCTGGGTTACAAACACTAAGTAAAGGAATAAGAATCTCTGGTTCTGTTTTCAACATGAACATGACACAATCCATTGAGCATGTTATAAAGGTCATTTGAAAGAGGAAAAATGCATCACAGAAGGAGAGCAGGTTATTGCAAAGATTCAGAAAAGTGAGGGGTAAAGGGGAAGTGGAGAATACTTATGGGGAACACTCACAGGTCTTGGTGACTCTCCCAAATGTAGGAAGAAGGAAAGAAGGAATCTAGCGTGACTCCCAAGTATCCACACCCTGGACAGATCAATAAATGGTTGTGCCATTTTCTGAGAAAGACATAGGATATCGGTGACAGGGAATCTCTAATATATCTTTTCCTTTCTATGGTATTTCCAAGGCTACTACTAACTTTCCAGATGTAAAAACAAACATGTTAAAGTCCTTCCTTTCATTAAAAAAAATCAATTTCTCTGCTTAGCACTTGTCATTCTGGAACCCTTTCTTCCTGCCCTCTTCCAGATTCCTCTACATCTCACACCTGTATTCTTCTTCAACTGCCTGCTCTCTAAGCATTACTGTTACCAAGAACCCTACGCCATTCACTTTGGCTACTCTTCAATCTCAGTGGACCACCACCTTTCTCATTTCTGTGGTTTCTGTTTCCATTCATACCCCCAAATAAGTGGTTTCCAAGTCTGTATTTCTAGCCCTCATTTCTCTCTAAGATTCTGAGTCTTCATCAATAGAATGAGTGAGTGGAAGAACAGCCACTGGATGTGAGGTTGGGTAGAGATGCCCAACGAGCACACCAGTACCCAGCATTTCCTTTATCCAGGTACAACAGGTGTGAAGAGCCTCAAGATTACTGACTATGGTAAAATCATGTGGACGTGATGCGTTTTTAGTATTCATATACCTTTGCTTTTTCATGATTATCACTTTCAGTATACTTATTTTTATAATGCATGAACATGCAGTATATACAAACAATACTTTCGCACAACAAAATGCTTAGCTTTGAAATGTCCAGTTTGGTCAGTTTTGACCAACCAAACATCTGTACAAACACCACTCAGAGCAAACCATAGGCTATCTTCACTACCCTGTTTCCTTGTTTCCCTTGCTAGTCATTTGTACTACTATTCAACTCTTTCTAACTTAATGAGTTAGTTTTGTCTTCTACAGTTACAAACACATGCCTAGAAAAATGTTTGTAAGATTGATGATGTTATGTATCACAAGGCTTTACATTTTTTTTAAGTTTTGGAGTAGTTTGACACTCAACAAGTTAGAAGAAATAGCAGAGTTCTTCTATGCCCTTTACTCAGCTTCTCCCAACATCATCTTCTTTAAACACAGAACACTGTAAAAACTGGGAAACTGAGTCACTGCAACATCATTAACTTAGACATAAACTTAATTATTTCTTCACTAGTTTTATATACATTTGTTATGTGTGTGCATAGTTCTATACAATGTTATATCATATGTGGATTCATACATCCATCAGGACACTGAACTAACCAACATTAAATAACTCTCTCATATTTAACCCCTAATAATCATATCTCACCCATTATTACTTCAAAAATGTTACATAAATCAAAGCCCATAATATATAACTGTTACGGGCTAAATGTTTATGTTGCCCTCCCCTCGAAAACCCATATGCTGAAGCCCCATCCCACTGTGATGACAGTTGGTGAGAAATAAGGAGGGTTACATGAGGTTCTGAGAGTGAGGTCCTCCTAGTGGCCTTGGTGCACTTTGAGCCACCCAGTCTATGATGTTTTCTTATGGCAGAGTAGACCAACATGAGCTCTCCACCAAGTTACATGTACTAATAGTTTGTTTCTTTCTCTTGCTGAGAAGTATAATGATATCACAGTTTGCTTGTTTATTTATCTATTGAAAGACATTTGGGGATACAAATACGGCTGCTCTGTAAGGGTTTCTGGCTACATTTAAGCTTCCATTCTAGGCAATAAAGGTTTAGTATTACAATGGCTTGGTTGTATGGTAAGTATAGGTTGAAGCAGAAATTGACAAGGAAAAAAAAAGATCTCCCAGAGGTTTAACTTTGTTTTAATTTACTAAATTGTAAGTCACATGATTTAACTTTTAGTGATACCTGTGTTTCCTAGCTTACAAAGATCCTGTGTGACAAATGCCTCCCAAGTCAGTGCACCACTGGGAGTTCCCATTTCTAAAACTCATTACCAGAAGTACTACATTTATTCCTTAGAATACCTTTTACAAGAGAATATCTATGGTTCAGAAAAGCTCAGCAGCAATACAGCAATACAGCTGCCACAAAGCCCAGAAAGCAACACAGCATGGGAAGAAAATAGACTAGACTGCAGGTGACATTTCCATTGTAGGTGAGTGAATTTCAATGAACGGTAACCTAACAATAAAGCATTCAACATGGAGCGAAGAACTTGTGCTAGGGAAGTGACCTAGAGCATGTCCTCTGACCTATACAGCCTCAACCGAAATCTGCCCCTCATTATTCATTAGTTGTATTCGTTGGAGCACTTACATTACTTAATGTCTCCTTCAGCTTCCTCATCTGTTAACTGGGGATAAATAGTCCCCTCCTGCAGTTGAGGTGAGGATTCAAAAAAAGCACAATGTGCAAAACTGTTTCTGGCACTTAGGAATCAGCCAGTAAGTTTTAGAAGATCATTCAGCTGCTCACACAACCTTTGGAGGGGGCGGTGGTTGGTAGTTGTCTCTGCTTATTTTGGTGTCTGAAGGTCAGGTTCTCCCTTCTTTTCCTGTCACTCTTGAAGCCACCCAGACAGAAGTGATTGAGTGTGGTATACTCTGAGCAGGTTAAAATTTTCTTTTTCTTTTTTCAAGACAAGTCTGTGTGTGCTAGCTCAAGGAAGTAGAATCTGACCAGGTCACTTTACAGGAGATGCTACCTAGAAATCAGATAGAATTGAAAATCCGGTTTACCTAACATGATTCCTACTACTTGGTAAGGGCTGTTCCAGAAGGGAAGACGAGAGGGGAGGAAGAAAGGAATCACTGAAACTGAGTGTTGTAGTCAATTTGATCTTAAAGTATGGAGATATCCAGTTGCTATCCTCTCACTTAGACGAGTTTATCAAGTCCAATTCTTCCACAATAAAATTATGTATTACTGGAAACAAAGCTTCATAACTGAATTTATTCAACTTTCAACCAAATGGTATCTAATTATTACTATAATGTGAATCATTACTATGGATTATTAGGTGCCTAATAGTAATATTAGCACAATCTCTTTACTAACAGTAGTTTCTGTGGATAAACCACTACAACCCACAAAGATTTGCTACAAGAGGTACCTTTACCAGTGTTTGTTTCTGTAGGTGGACACAGCCCCTTCCAAACTATGGAAGGAAGGCAAGAAAGCAGAAGGTGGGGGCCAGCACAGTGGTACAGTATGCTAAATTTCTGCCCTGTGGTACCACCTTTCCATACGTTCCACTGATTCATGTCCTGGCTGCTCCACTTCCAATGCCTTCCTCCTTCTGGGCTGGGAAAGCACCAGAGGATGGACGAAGTCCTTGGGACCATGTATCCATGTGACAGACTTGGAAGAAGCTCTAGGCTTCTAGCTTCAGATTAGCTCAGCTCTGGCCATTGTGGCCATTTGGGGAGTGAACCAGTGGATGGAAGAGCTCTCTCTTTCTCTCTCTCTCTCTCCCTGTCTCTTCTTCTCTCTCCTTTCCTCTGTAAAATCTGCCTTTCAAATAAAAATAAATAAATCTTCCCCCCCTCCCTGAAGAAAAGAAATGGAAGACACCCACCATCAGCTATGACTTGCTGAGATGAGACTGCCTTCAAACACAAAACAATCCTGTTTCTTGTTTGCTGAAATTCAAATTGTCCTTAAACATGAACATACTATTCTAGGACATCAAGAAATGGATTTAATGGTGGTAGTCTAGTGGTTAATGTTCTTGCCTTGCATATGCCAGCATCCCATATAGGTGCTGGTTCTAATCCCGGCAGCTCCGCTTCCCATGCAGCTCCTGGCTTGTGGTCTGGAGAAGCCGTCGCGGATGGCCCAAAGCCTTGGGACCCTGCACTTGTGTGGGAGACCTGGAAAAAGCTCCTGACTCCTGGCTATGGATCACTGCAGCACCAGCCGTTGCGGCCACTTGAGGAGTTAATCAGTGGATGGAAATCTTTCCTCTCTGTCTCTCCTCCTCTCTGTAAATTTGACTTTCCAAATAAATAAATAAACATATTTTTGAAAGAAGAAAAGAAATGGATTCATTCTCACCAGTTATTTAAGACAGAGATTGTCAGCCTTGGCACTGTGGACACTTTGAGGCTGATAATCTGCTGTGGGTTAGTGATCTGCTCATTCTAGAACACTTCACAGCATCTCTAGCCTTTATCCACTAGATGCCAGTAAGACTTCACACGCACTCTCCCTCCCACCCTCCTGTTTTGCCAGGTGGGGACAATCTAAAGTGTGTGCAGACATGACTCAGTGTACCTTGGGAAAAGGGGCAAGCTCACCCTTAACAGTACTTAGATGACAATTAGGAACTATTTACTTTTATCACCAGTGTTTTTTCCCAGTCGTGAGTGAAAGGGCTCTGACACCATGCACCAGATGGAATCTGCCATACTGGAGGCTGTTCCAGAAGGCCTCTCCTTGGGCTGCAGCATTTCTGTGCTGGGACTGTCTGCTTCAGGGCAGAGTTCACATGCTTCACCTTTCACAAAGCTCCAACATTTCCCATGAGAAATAACTTGCATTTTATACTACAGTTCTTATGATATTAAGTATTTGGTGGAATTTACAAAGTGGAAATAGCAGAGATTCATAGACTCAGATTTTTAAAAAGAGATAAAGGATTGAAAGAAAAGTAGGCTGACAAGGTTCCGCAGACCCAGCACTTGGGCACTTATGCATTTTTTACAAACTCTATTCACCACACAAAGGAAACACCCTCACTCACACGTCACAGCATGGATCTTCCTCAGTTCCTCGTGTTTTTGGTTTGTTACTTCTGTTTGTGAAGATGAAAAAGACTTGCAGTCTTTTATTCAGAAGACATCCAACAGAGCAAGTGGAAATCACTGTGGCTGTAACTACGCTGTGGCAGTAATCAGCGTTTCCTTTGGGAACTGAATCCCAACTGACACACTTTAAAAACCCATTTAGTTATCATGAACAAAAGCAACAGTGTGGCTTAGGGGTTTTCAATCCCTGTCCACTTCAGGGGAGCTGTGAAAAAATTAACTCCAGGGCTCAGCTCTTGGAGAATCTGATTCAATCAGCTGGGACAGGGCTCCAGGATCTGTGTGAGTACCTGAGTCCTCAACACTGCGTAGGACCGGGAAAGCAGGAAGAGCGCCTGTCCACAGACAACTTCGCTGTTGGATTTAATGGGATTACATTATTGAGGCTTAGTAGAGATATTCAATTTTTCCCTAAAGCTTTTCTTGTGTGTGTATAACTTACATACATATTTGAAAGACAGAGTAACAGAGGGAGAGAGAGAGGATGCATGCTTCCAGAACTCCCTCTGAGTCTCCCACGTGGATTGCAGAGGTCTAAGCACTTAGGCCATCTTCTGCTGCTTTCTCGGGCACGTTAACAGCAGCGCCATTGGAAGGGGAGTAGCCAGGGCCAGAAGCAGCCCTCTGACATGGGACGCCACTATCACAAACTGTGCCTAGCCTACAGTGCGCTGGTGGCTCCTTTGAGTACATTTTTTCCTAAAGCAAAATGAAATAAAAGGGGTCTTTGAAAAGTTCATGAAAATGCATATTTTGAAAAACCTGTGAGTTACTTTCCAATTCAATCTTTCCACAGACTCACTGCAGTCTCCCGTGTATGCTCTGAGAGTCCACTGAGAAATCCAGATTACAGTACTTGCTGTGTTAATTTTGACACACACACACAACAAACCCAAATATTTTATCCACTGTGAGACTCTTATTTTGGTATTAGGACACAGGGGCTGACTTTGGCAAGGTGACTGAGGGATATAATTAACAGCTGATGCACATTTTGCCTTCTGGATTCCTGATTCCTCCAGAATCAAGAGTAACATACACGCACAGTAGTATTTATTCTCGTCTTAAAACTCTGGAAATAGATAAGTTAGTGTGAAAGATGCAAGTCTGTGCAGGTCACTAACTCCAGGTTTTAAGAAGAGAAGCAAATAATTTGAGATGAACAAAACCATAATTCAAGATATATTAAAGAATCTGCTCAAGAGTCCAAGCTGTCTTGATTCAAGGCATGAACCCATTTTGAGTATGTACATGCATGCACACAGACAAAACAAACTAACCATTTCCATTCAGGAAAATGCTGCCTATAGGAATGTATTTGCTACAATTCAGGAGTCAGATTCAGATTCTACACAGGATCGCATTTCCCTAAATTGCTTTCATTTTAGTACTACCAACCACAGAGTGCTTGCGGATTCAGAATCATGGGAGGATCTGCACAAGTTACTGAGTCTTGGGGCCAGTGTTGTGGCATAGCAGGAAAAGCCTTGGCCCGCAACACCAGCATCCCACATGAGTGCCAGCTCAGGTCTTGTTGCTCCATTTCTGCTCCAGCTCCTTGTTAACGTGTCTGGGAAAGCAGCAGCCAGCCTAAATATCTGGGCCCTCTCACTCACATGGGAGACCCCGATGGAACTCCAGGCCCCTGGCTTCAGGATAAGATGGCAATAACGTCAACACAGGGCACAAAGTCATCTTATGGGCTCCCCAGTATGTATCAGGTCTGATGACTGAAATGTCACTATGTGGCACATGATCGGGTGTTCAAAAGTTAAGATTTCCCTGCTCAAAACTTCCAATAGCCTTCCACTGCACCTGGAATGAAACCTAACCTCCTCTAGTTACTAACAGGGGTCTAGGTGACCTCTGCTTGTCAACCTCACGGCCCCATTTCCCGTCCCTCCTTCCTTACCTACTCTGCTTCAGCCACAGGATCTGCCCTGTGTTTGTGAACTCTACAAGCAAATTTCTGCTTTAGGCTTTTTGCAGTTGCAGCTGCTCCTTTCTAGAATGTTCCATCTCTCAGATGTTCACATACTCTCAGTTCTTTGCAAACTCTGCTCAAACGTCCCTTACTACAGAGACCTCCCCACTGCACCCCATCTAACAGTCACCCCTGCCATTCTCTCCTACCCTGTTACTGGTTATGGCTTATTTTTCTTTATAGCACTTAATAATCTGACAGTCTGTTTATCAGTGACGCTTACTATAATGTCAGCTCTTTGGGAGTGCAACTTGATTCTGTTTTGTTATCTATGGTGTCCATGGCACCTAAGCTGGGTCTGGAACACAGCTAGTGCTCAGTAAATATTCCTTGAATGAATAAGATAACAGGATCAAGCATATACTACGGACAGAATAAACTACAGTAAGTTTGTGATGCCATTTTATAGATAAAAAGATGCTTCGCAGTAAGGTCAAACTTCTCTGGAGACACAATTATTCAGGTGTAAAACTGTACTTCAATATTATAGTACATGTTGTAACTTCAATAGAAATACACATTAGATTATACTCACTTGGAGTTTCCTCTAAGATTTCCTGGAACTTGCTTCTCTCATATTCCACCAACTGGCGTTGAAGGTGTGGTCTGATACTCCTAATTGTAAAATTGGCCATGTCCATTTTCATGAGGTCCAGGACATGGAATATTTGTCTACAAATTTTAGAATTAAAATAGTTAGTTGATTAAGAAGTTAAGCCAAAATTCATTAACTACTATAAATATTTCATATGGAAAAAGAAACATCTTCTAAAATCCAACTGCCATTTGGCAAGCTCACTCATCACAGTGTGTGTGTTTGTCCATAGTTCTCAACAATATTTACTTTAGCAGACATAACGCTTCCAGCTGACCCATCACATCCAGCCATAAACTGGCAGAGAGACAACTAAGACACATATTTTAGCAATATGAGGAGAAAAAATCAAGAAGGAAGGGCCAGTTGGGAGCCTCTGAAATTTTAAGGAATCTGAACACAGTACATACAGTTTTTATTTCTAAGGGAATAAGGAAAAAAACAGTGAAATAAGGGAAGGCTGCAGTAGAGGGACTCCGAAAGAACATACTTCATTTTTGAGCTGTGAGCAGTCCTGGGCTCAAGTCCAAATTTACGCCGGACCAGATTCATGGCCACACATAAATTACTCAATCCCCTTGAACCTCAAGTTTCCTCATCTGTGAAAGAGGACATCTACCTTGAAGGGAATTTATCAACAATCAGTGAATTAATGACTGCCTGGTGGAGGGGTAGTGGCAGCCAGTAGGCATTCAATAAAGACCAACATGAATACCACAGGTTCAATATCATTCATGGGTAATAAGGTAACTGAAGGAAAAGACAGAAAGTATCCCTCAAACAAAGACATCTTCCAGAACTGAGCACAATTCAAGACATAAAGCCCATTTTACAGTTAGGGGAAGTGTCATCTTGAAAAGTTTTCAATTTTGCTGAGGTCACAAAGTAAGTTACTTACTACACACCTACTAATTTCCTTCTAATTTCCCCTATTCATATATAAAACTCAATTCTCAATACGGCAGTATTCATGTTTAAAGGGAGAAAAATTCCTCTAGAGCACAAAAGTGTTGCTGACTCTTCTTTCATTTGGGATCACAGGAAAGTTACTGTCTACACCAAGCCAGATGGAATTCTCATAATTTAACATGCATTTCCTCAGGGAAGCCTCAAATGGCTAGCTGATCACTAATGGCTCATCCTTCCTTCCTGGAATGCAGAAAAAAAAAATGTTTTCAGACAACAACTACTTTTCCTGAGCCCATTTTTAAAAAAGATTTATTTATTTGAAATACAGAATGAGACATGGAGAAATAAAGAAGTATCTTCTCTCCATGGTTCACCCTCCAAATGGTTACAATAGCTGGGATTGGGCCCAGGCAGAAGCCAGGAACCCAGTCATCATGTGTACTTCTCATATGGGTGGCAGGGGGTCCAAGTACTTAGGCTATCTCCGTCTATCTTTTCTGGTACATTCACATGGAGCCAGATTAGAAGCGAAGTAATGGGACTCAAATGGTACTTCATTAAGGGATGCCACCACTGTAAGCATCAGTTTAGCTCACTATGCTAAGCTCTGGTCCCTGCCTTGGGTACCAACTCACTAGTCATGGTCAAGGGAATGGGGTTCTCCTAGGATGAGATGGTTGCAGACTGAGTATGCCATACTTGTCTCATTTATTATCTGAATGAACAGGATTCCAAGAATCAGGGCAAATGTGAAACCAAGGAAAGAAGAAGCCTGGGTCCTGAACTCCAGAGTCAGTCTGACACATGAATATGTGAATATGAAAGACTTTTACTGGTTAAATTCCTGAGAATCCATGGTTTATGTGTTACAGCAGCTAGTGACCCTAACTAACAAGTTTTCCTACATCCTTGACTAGATTAAGACACCTGCTGGGAACTCTTATTACAATCCTCTACTTAACCTTCCACAGCATGTATCACAACTATAATGAATTATTCAAGGTCAATCTCCCAATTGGACTACAAACTATTAGACGTCAAAGATTACACTTATATCACTGCCTGCTGTGGTTTAAATGTGCCCTCCAAGACTGGACTATTAAGTATCAGTGCAACAGCATTGAGAGTTGGCCTTCTCCTCAGATCAAGAATTCCTTTAGGATGCCAATTATTGCTCTGGTCCCCCAATGTCTACAAGTTCCCTCTAATGAAACGCAGGCAGCAGAAGTGCTAACCTCAGCACCTCCACGATGTTGCTGGTGGCCTTCAACTCTCTGATATCATCGTCTCGCACAGGAGCACAGAGTTTTCCCATTGTACTGATGACATAGTTGGCCAGGCCCTGGATGTCCACAGCGTTGTGCTCAGCCTGTTGCCTAATGAGGTCTGTATCCAAAACTTCACAGATCTGATTACGAAGCCGGTTGCCACCAGGAGTCAGGAAAGAGAGAAGTGTCTACACAGGGAAAGGGAGAATTAACAGCATTGTTTCATGAGTGAAGATTGTCACATTTCACTTCAGTGATTAGGGTCCCTGTCCATCATTTAGAGTGCAGGACACCATCGAAGGTGACACAGACTGAAGGGTGGATTAAAGAAGCACTCTGATGTCTGAACTCTAAAAACAAAGCAGTATATTCTGAATTGAACTGACAGATGCTATCAAAATGAAAGCAACTGGCAAGGAAGCAATATTTAGCACATGGGCACATCTATGGATAAGCAGAGCAGAGAAGGGAAAACATGACTCCAAATGAACTATTAAAAAAGAATAGATGAAAACAGCCCTGGGCCTATTAGGTACAACATGTTTTACATATAAAATATTCACCATATACAAAGGGGCTTCAAAAAGTGTGTGAACAATTGAATTAAAAGTTAGGTAAGATATTGTGAAATTCATGTGCAATTGCTCCGTAACATGTATTTCCATACAGTTTTTGAGGTTGCCTGGTTTTATTTGCAGCCTACTTATTGAGCAATCAGCACACACCAGCATGTGAGGACCCAGGGAAAAGGCATGACCCGTGAGCACAAAGCTAGCCCTCCCCTCACACAGTGCCTGCCGGCACCTTGATCCTGGACTTCTCAGCCTCCAGAACCGGGAGAATTAAGTTCCTGTTGTTTATAAACCACCCAACCCCTGCAATGAGTAAAAACATCATCAACGGACCTCTCTAATTTCTTCAAACAGTCTGATGGCATGCTCGTACTCAGGGGGCTCAGCGCTTAGTTCTGATTCCAAGATGTCCCAGAAGGCTTGGTGAACAATATGCTTCACTCGGCCAACCAAGCTGCGACAATGAAATAGAATATTTCTTTTAAAATAAGCATTATTTCCCTTTTAATAAAAAGCATCCTAGTTATTGAAATCTTCAAAAACTATAGGGGAAAAACAGAATAAAAATTGTCCATAGTCCCATTATTAATCTTTTGACACATTTTCCTTGCCCAATACACATTAAGAGTACCAAGTATGCACAATATTATAGATTTTTAAAAATTCAATATTCTTTCCTGTTTTCCCTAGGTCCTTTTAAAATACTTTCTTAGTAAAGCTTCTGATAATTTCCTAAGAAATGCCTTCATTTACATAACTCTTCTACCCAGATCTTTAGACATCTTTTAGATTTTGGGGATGAAGATGGCCAAGTCGCTCTTTGCTCAACAGCAGAAGTTTCATGACACAGAACAGAACAGGAATGGCTGCCAACTGCAGCTGACATGTCCCATCTAAAGTCAGCCAGACCAAGCTGCTGAAATAGAAGCCTCTAAGGAGGAGCTCACAATAGAATAGGTGGCCAGCCACCTTGCTTCACCCCTTATGTCAATTTTCTAAAATAGGTGCATATTAAAATACATATTTCTGCTCAACTCCTATGCCTTTCTAGGCTGCACATGTCTAGCTGGCATGGACCAACAAGAAACGAGCTAAAACAATTTCAGAGCTCCCTAAGGGATGCCAGGGTTTAGATTTAGGTTCTCCCAGAGGCTGTAAGAGCTTTTGAACTTTTTCATTTCCTAGAGAAGCTGGGGGAAGGGATAACACAGGATATATAATGAAGCAAATCATTTAACATTTATTTATTTGAGGGGGAGGGACAGCTGGTTTTTTCCCCCAAATGCTCACAATGACCAAGGTTGGACCAGGCCAATGCTCATCACCAAACTCGACACAGGTCTCCCACATGGGTTGGGGAGGCCCAACTTCCTGAGCCATCCTTTGTTCCCTTCCAGGATGCACACTGGCAGGAAGCTGTGATCAGGAATGGAGCCAGGACTTGAATCCAGGCATTCTGACAGATGTGGGCTCAAGACCTCCCACCCAGTAGCTTAAGCTCCAAGTAAATAATTGATAGTCATGTCTGACAAACATAAGAAAATGATGAATTATGTATATATATCATGCTTTTCTTCCCAGAGAATAGACATCATTAAATATGAGAGTTGACTGTATGGTAAAAAGGAAAAACTTGACCCTTGTGGAGGGCCATCTAAAAACCAGCAGCTTTAGCTGGTTAGTATGCTACTTCCCTCTAAGGCAAAGGAAATGCATCCCATGTCTGAACTTCACTTCCATCCTACACTGGGCAGAAAATGAAGGAAAGAAGGATTACTATCTTTCATAGTATCAAGCGTTTATAAGGCACTTATGCAATCAGCATGCATTTGAAGTGAGTGGTTCCCATTGCAACCCCAGGGGAGTGTGAGGCTCAGTTGTGGTCTTCCCCATGTGAAGGTTCAAGCCCTATGATCTGTGTTGTCCCAACACGCCTTTACTCCGGTCTGGAGCCAACCTTTTGAATTTGATGCACAGACACTACCAAACTGTCTATTGCTGTACTTCATTTTTTAAACCCCCTATAATTTGAATTTAATATAAAATTTAAAAATTCTGTTTTTCAGTCAGAGTTTTACAGAACATTTACTGTATGTAAGGCCTTGCTCAAGGCACTATGAATACCACAGGCAATAGAAAATCTCTGTCCTTCTATGTCAGCGGACAGAAACACAGACACAGACAATAAAGTGAGTGAGCCAGTGTCTCAGCTGGAGAGGACAGAGTGAAACAAAGCAGTGGATTGTAATGGAAGGATATTGGTTTTGCTAGGTCGCTAAAGAAAGCTTCTCTAAGGCAGTGACTTTGGGTTCAGACTCAAATGAAGAGAAGAAAGCAGCTCATCTAGGGAAAGAACAATCAAAAATAAGGAGGAAGGAGGACAGAGTCCCTGAGCTAGGATCAGCCTGGGAATCCTGCAGGATCAGGGGAAAAGCTGGCAGGGCTGAAGTACCGAGACACAGGGGTAAGAGCAGGGTTCTGGCCTTAATAGTCTAGCTTTTTATTCTATGTGGAACAGAAAAACCACTGGGCAGTCTTAAGCAAACAAATTATCTGATGGGATTCATTCTTTAGAAAGATCATACGGCTACTGTTCGGGTACAGAGGATGGGCTAGGACAGGGTAGAAACAGTCCGGGTCACAGGTGATGGCGGCCCAGCTCAGGGATGAGGTAACAGAGCCAGCAGCATGCAAACGCCCAGTTATGTGTATGTGAGCCAGTGGCTTTTAAAAAATAGTAATAATTATCATAAACAACCACCCAGGAGGATGACAGCCACAGTTTAAAAGACGGGAAATTATTATCTTTGCTTATTTTTCTATTTCAAACAAGAAAGTCCTACATGGGATCAAATGTTGTGAAGTTGTCTCTACTGATAGAGCAAAAGTCTTGGGGTCCATAACCGGCACTGTGAGTTTGACAATTCTATGCCGTTACCTAGGAGGCAACTGCAGTCTTTCAAGCCATCAGTCTGTAGGACGGGCTCAGGCCTCGGCTCCTCTTTGTCCCCCAGGAGTGGTGGGCCCCTGATGCCAGAGAGACTGAGGTGGGCTAGAAGGCTGTGGCCCTCCCCAAAGGTCCCTGGGGCTGAGGTCATGCCAAACTTGCCCTCGCAGCTGCGATCCCCAGCTCCAGTTTCTTTCACTGTCTATTCTTAGTGCTTTGGCAGTTCAGAAGAATGAACAGAAGCATGAACTTGATCCTGAGCGTTAAATTGTAAACCCTCTTCACAATGAGGAGAGGCAGCGGGAGCTACAGGAGACTTGAGCAAAGGAATTAACTAGAAGCTCAGGAAGAAAATGCTTCCCTAGGAAATAACATAGCACATGAGGTCTAAAGGTGACGGGTAACACATACCGTAAATGAATCTGTTTAAAATCTCTCTCTCTCTCTCTCTCTCTCTCTCTCCCCCTCTTCAGTATGGTTTATGTACAGGTTACCTGTTCTCTGGGAGGGCATCTTGTCTCAGTTGGAAGTTCTCATTTACAGCAATTTCATGAGCAAGAGTCAAGTTTGTTAAATTCCTTGTTGCAGCCATGAATTCATCAAATGTTACAATCCTAGGAGGGCTCGTTGCTGAAAGGAAAACAAGTCAGTAAGTGGTGTGGCAGTGGCTGTCACCCACAGTGCTTCCTGAGGTTGACATTTAGTTTGTTTCAGTGTGTATTCTGGGCTTTTACGGGTAAAGGGATTTTTAAGGAGGTACTTCAAAAAGTTCATAGAAAATTAAATGGCAAGGTTACTTTGGTGCAAAAACCTTTAAGTTGAGCAATGATTTTTATAACACTCATTTCCATAAAGTTTTTGAAGTACTCCTTTGTACGACAAGAGGTGGATGTGCTCACCGGATACAGACTTCAGGAATTGAATAGCTCCTTTTATGGTTTCAGTTATTGTATTTGTTAATAAATTCTCCAATGTTTCTGAGACAATCTTACTGATATAGGTCTATTTGTTAATTTTTAAAATTAAATCACCTATTTTTAACTATAATTTTAATCAATATTTAGCGGATTAGATACAATTCTAAGAACACTATGACATCCTTCCTCCTCCCGTACTTCGCCTTCCCCCACACTCCTATCCTCTCCGCTTCTCCCTTTCTCGCTTTTAACTTTGAGATGAACATATTTTAGATTCACACAACAGTAAAAGGCACCTAATTTTTTAAATATCTATTGCTTCTGCATATGTTACACATATTACATAGGAGAATCGTAAGACTTCATGCTTGAATTTAGAATTCTCATTAATTTAATAGTCCCAATATGAAATAGCTGAGTTTTAAAAGATTTATTGATTTTTATGAAAGTCAGAGCTACAGAGATAAGGAGAAACAAAGATCTTCCATCTGCTGGTTCTCTCCCCAAGTGGCCACAACACGGCATTGCTGAGCTTCTTTCAGATCTCCCAGGGCTTTGGGCCATCCTTGACTGCTTTCCCAGGCCACAGGCAGGGAGCTGGATGGGAAGTGGAGCAGCCAGGACACTAACCAGCGCCCATACGGGATCGCAGCACATGCAAAGCAAGGTCTTTAGCTGCTAGGTTACTGCGCTGGGCTCAAGATTAGCTGATTTTTTAAAACCATAAACATTGAAAGTATAGTCAATATAGTATGATGCTCAGGGGTCAATTGTAAGTTTTATTCATTATCAAGATATCATTTGACTTAATTTTGAGGCATAATTTACCTCCTTAGAGTGTTGCCCTCAGGTGCTTAAATTTAGATATTTAGGTAAAGGGATACATTGACCTCAATAAACATAAATAACTAAAGTCAAATAAAATAAAGCTTAGAAACTAGAGAAACTTTTGGTAAGAAACGAGAAGTCTAAAATTTGAGATATTCTAAAGATTTTACTAAGAAATTATCCTGATATATAGTGTCACTTTTAAATCACCATTGGAAATCTTATCTCCCATAAATTAAAAATCATGTCCTCAAACAACAGTGGGACAAGCAACCCTCTGCTAACCAATTTTTGTGAAAACCCACCTGAAGCGTGAGAAAAGGCACAAAAACCTGGTCTGGCTGCTGCTGACTCTTCCTCATGATCCTCCTTGAAAATGCTGATATACTTTGGTCCAATAATCCACAGCCATCCCAAGGAACAGAAAGGCTTTACGCATCAAGATGTACATAAAGCACTATTACTAACTGCAAGACCGTGTGAAAACTAACTAAAAATCCAATGATAAATCAATGATCAAGTAAGCTAATGATATATTTACTTGATGAAGTAGTGGGCAAACATCAAAACAATGCTTTAAAATGATCATGAGGGGCTGGCATGGAGGCACAGGGGATTATAAACTGCTGGTATCGCATGTCAGAGCATCAACACAAGCACCGGCTGCTCCACTTCCTATCCGCTTCCTGTAATCTGTATCCTGGGAGCTTAAAGCCCATGTGGGAAGCCTGGAGAGAGTTCTGGGCTCCCATCACCAAGCCAGGTCCAGACCAGCCGTCACAGTGCTCTCTCTCTTCCTCCTTTGCTCCCTCCTTTTCAAATAAATGAGTAAATCTTCAAAACAAATACAATTATTAAGTAAATATTTCATTGTGATGCTAGTTAGAAAGAACTGACACATCCGAGTATGTCTACACAGACGATAAAAACACAGCTAACTGGGCCTGGCGCAGTAGCTTAGCAGCTAAATTTCTCGCTTTAGAACCCGGTGCCAGTTCTAATCCTGGCAGCCACATTTCCCACCCAGCTCCCGGCCTGTGGCCTGGGAAACAGTCAAGGATGGCCCAAAGCCTTGGGACCCTGCACCCACGTGGGAGACCCAGAAGAGGCTCTGACCTCCTGGCTTTGGATCAGCTCAGCCCTGGCTGTTGTGGCCACTTGGGGAGTGAATCCGCGGATGGAAGATCTTTCCCTCTGTCTTTCTTTCTCTGTATATCTCTCATTTTTCAATAAAAAATACATAAATCATTAAAAAAAATACAGCTAAGCACTACATGGTTTTCCTCTTATGGTGATATTGCAGGCAATGTTTTCTTATCTCTATATCTTGCATTTTTCATATTTTTAAAAAATGAGAATATAAAAATTTTAAGTAAATCAAAATTAAAATAAAATAAATTAAAATGCATATTTGGATATTCACAATTAGTTGCTTCTTCCTACATCTGCTTTGTCAATTATCCTTTTAAACAACATGCCAGTGAAAAATCCAACACTGGAAAAAAGGGGCGGACATTTAGTGTAGCATTTGGGGTGCTACTTGTGCTATCTGAACCCCCATCACAGTGCCTGGGTTCAAGGACCTGCTCTGGTCCCCATTCCAGCTTTTTTTGCTAACGTCCACCCTGGGAGGCATTAGTGATAGTGCAAATAGCTGTGTCCCTGTGCCCACTTGGGAGACCAGCATTGAATTTGTAGCTCTTAGTATTGGTCCGGCCCAGCCCCAGCTGTTGCACACATTTGGAGAGAAAAATTTCAGATGGGAGTTTTCTGTCCCCCTGCCTTTCAAATAAATAATAAATACTTTTTTTTTTTCAAAAGGGCAAACATACTAACTTTACCCATTTCTAGTTTCCACACACAAAAAGGGACGAAATGCCTCTCTTTGCTGTAGCCACTCTTAATTTTTTTGCCCACTCTGAAGTGTTGTAATTCTTTTCAGGCAACTTTCTGGGGGTGATTTGCACATAGCTTTTGAAATCAGCAGGAAACCCTTCAGATTATTTCACATCCGGCATAACCCTTCAACAAAGGTCAGTTTCCTCCAATGAAAATGAGAAACAGTCAAACAACTCATTTGAATTTATCTTTGAGAGGGGTCCAAGAAAGGACTTTTCCCCATTTGGAAAGAAGACAAAGTTGGGGACCTGGTTTATGGTTAAACCAAAGCAAATCAGTGATCAACTAAAACCGAGAGGCGGTAGACTTCAGCGGCTGTTTGTTTCAGGGAACATGTTCAGAAAAGGTGTGCCTCTGTAGCACTGGTAGGATCCATCTGTGCTCCATTCCCAGCCATCCCTGAGTTATCAAATCTGACAGATTTGTCTAACAGTGCCCAGCCCCACCCCTGACCCGAGCCCTGATTGCTCTGTCGCCTCACAAGCAGGAGAGCTGGATTTGCTGGAGGAGTCGCTGGTAAAGCTTTGCCTGGAGCATTCGTGGTCGCTGAGCGAAGCCATGCTTTCCGAAAACCTTGCAGAGTCTGAGTCGCTTGGCTGGTCCTCACCCACACACTGCTTCTCGTCATTGAAGGGCATTTTCTGTCACTTGGGTCTGGATAAAACGGATAGCACCTGCACACACAAACAGACCCCACATCAGGATGCTGCGGTACCCTCACCAGAGTCGCCGATGCTCTTCTGAGCAGACAGGACTACACTCCCAGTGCTCCAGTACTGACAAGGTCCTTAGATGATTACCTTGTTCTTGTCCTTGCCTCTGGGCCCCAACCTGGTTAGGCTGTCACTAGGCATCAAGGTTGACTTCCAGATTTGGGAATTCCATAGGTGTGAGCTGCCTCATGACATGCCCAGAGTGAATGTGGGGGAAGTTGTATGCAATAATGGATCTTTCAAAAATAGCCAGTGTTCTCTCTTGCTCTCTCTCCTTCTGGATTGCTAAAACATGGAACATGGGAAGGTAAGACTGTAAGGCTCTGGGATCAGACTGTCTGTCTGTTTGTATGTTTTTTTTTAATATTTGACCCTGGAGAAGTCACTTACCCACCAGGCTAATCAGTGAAATTAGTCTGAAAGAATGAGCTCACAGGGTTGTTTAAAGAGTAAATAACATTAAAGTGTTTTAATTAGGTCTAGTGGTAGCTATTATTATTGTTCTTGCTGCTTTGTTTTAAATGAAGTATTTTTGAGACCAGTCTCTTAATGCTGTGAGTCTCCTGGGAGAGGGGAAAGATGGATTGAAATTCCTGGCCGACAGGTCTTCAGCTCCCTCTGTCCCCTCCACCGTTGCATGAACTGTCACGGTGTGAAGTGTGAGACCTCCTGTTTGTGTTGCACTTGACAAGTTATCAAGTACCCGCTGCAACCCAGTGAGTGCACAGCCGCCTGGGGTCCTACAGCACAGACAGTGGAGAGAGACAGAAGGACAAGGGGGCTTACCATGCTATAAAACAAGTTCCACAGTTCTATTCCCAGTGCTGTCCCTGGGACATCACGTTGCATCCCAGCGAAAGGCGGCTAGGTCTAAGCACAACCCAGAAAGGATATCAGGGGCCACAAGATGCCTGGGCCTGGGCTGGGCCCAAGAAGACTAGCCAGGCCCGTGAGGAAGCTGGCCCCATACCAGTAAGGTGTCACCTGACACTGAAAGGGAAACCTACGCCCAGTGAGAAAGGCACCTGGAGTCCTAATTGGACAATAACGACAGGAGTTCATTCAGTTCCTTTACACCTTAACTGACCTATACAACAAGAAACAAAGCATTTTAAAGGCTACCAGCATAGGAAACTATGATTGCACCTATTATGTTCAGACGTCTGCAGTTTCTGTGGTAACTTCATTAGTATTAACTTATTTACTGTGTGAGGCACTTGGCAAAGTAACGGAAAACAAGGCAAAAAGTCCCCTTGATTTCAGGGCTGTTCAGTGCAGTTACCTGCAGCTGTGCGTGCTGGATGTGGAGGAGGAGGCGGGGAAAACAAGCCATCGCTGAGAAAGCCTGAGAAAGGCAAGGTGCAGCAAGGACTCACAGGAGTTGAGATGATCTTGCCTTTGCTGACAGAAATTTTTAATTCCTCAGGAATAAAAAGCAACCTGAGAGAGATGTATTAATGATCAAGGGCCCAAGGTATTTGCACTTAACCTTCTTCAGTCCTACCATTTACAGAAATGCATCCTGCCCACCAGCATGTTAGCAAACAGACAATCTACTAGGCAAAGCCTGTCTCTGTAGGTTAAGGGCAAGCAGTGGAGTGAACCTGCTCAAGAGCTATCACAGGGAGACATTCACTTTCTCCTAACCGCAAAGCCAACCGCCGTGCACAGAGGCCATAACACAGTCTCGAACACTTGCATCTTCAGCGGCGACATAACTTCAGGAAAGCCAGATTCTTCTCCAGATTTTTCCTCCCATCTGCTTGCCCTGGGACAAGGACACAGGCGAAAAGGGCTCCTCTAACCCTTCAACTACCACCACATCCCAATCCTAAATGGGAAGCTGCCTCTCCTGTAACTTCCTTTTTCTCACTTTGCCATCAGTTCACTTCCCAGGGTTGGCATTTCTGGGAAACACCCCCTCTCCAGGAAGCCTTCCTTTACCCCCTGGCCAGAGTTGACAGCACTCTTCCTGGTGTATCTTCAACACATCTCCTGCAGCCCCAAGAGAGCTCTTGGTCCCTTCTACAATTATTTTCATCCCTGGTACTTCCGAATCTCCTTAAATAAGGCAGAGAGTCTGTCTGTGGCTCCTGCCAAGCATATGACAAGCATTCATTCAGTGTCAGCTAAACAGGAATCACTGAATCCCATTTGGTACAGCTTCAAGCAGAACATTTGCAAACTGACACCACTACTTGTTTCCAGGCCTCACAATGCCAAAATCCAAGCCCAAGGGCAGAGAAATCGACTGCCTACAGTGATCAACCTTATTAGCTTTAAAATTCAAAGTCTCCAGGTCCTTTTCCTACTTGCACTTGAATTTCTAAAGCTGTTTCCACATTAGGATTGCTTCATCATTCTCCTGTAAGGTAATAACTGTGCCATGTATGCCCCACTCTTGGTTTTTCCTCCATCACAGCTACCTCAGATGAGCAGGGTCTTGGGTTGTCCTTCCAAGTACAAATGAGTAACAGCTTTCATCATTGGAGTTTATAAACCAGGCTAAAAGCTATAACTGCTCATTTCATTTTTCTCTTCCAGCTAGACAACACACTTGGTTGATTTTTAAACTGTGTTTAACAAGGCAGTAAAGTGCAAAGATTTAAACAGTAAAAAGCTCTGGGTTAAGGACTTAGGGGTTCAGGCTTTATGGCTCTGTGATTTATAGATGTTGCATCTATTCTTTTTCTCTTCATTGTCCTGAGAAGTGCTGGGCCAGTTAGAAGGCTTCTTTTATCTAGGAATTACTAAGATGCTCTAAATTCAGAGTTTCATAACGTTTCAGTAGAAGTTTTAAGAAATTAGATTTGTTCATGGCTGGCATGCTTAATGGTGTGCAATTATTCTTGATACAGAACATGAAACAGAGAATTAAAAAGAGCTTCATAATGTTCAGAAACACTCATTTAGTTGATAGAAGCCTTTACCTTCTAACAGGGCTCTGGTGAGTCCAAGCAGAGGACAAAAGGTCTCTGAAGCCAAATACCCAGTATCCTTCACTACAGAGATGGGCTGCTTCCTCATATAGGTATAATACCTGGCAATATCTAACTCGTAGGGTTGGGATTTCATTTAGTCAAGTATTTAGAGTCCGTGGAATAGGAGTTGAGAGAGTAAACATGAAACAGATGTTGCTATCATTGGCCTTTATTTGCTTACTAATATCATCTCAGGCATAAAAAAATGAAAGGACAGTTTTATCCCAGGATGATAAAAAGCAGGGTCCCCTAGAGAAAAACAAGATTAGCTGTTAATCTAGGACATTATTCTTGCACATTTCTGAAGCACTAAAGCCAAAAGCAAGATGGACCATCACAAGAATGAATGGTCTGCTGGGCCTGGTGCAGTAGCCTAGTGACTAAAGTCCTTGCCTTGCATGCACCAGGATCTCATATGGGCGTGGTTTGTATTCTCACTGCTCCACTTCCCTTCCAGCTCCCTGCCTGTGACCTGGGAAAGCAGTCTCGAGGATGGCCTAAAGTCTTGGCCCTGCACCTGAATGGGAGACCTAGAAGATCCCAGCTTTGGATCAGCTCAGCTCCAGCTATTGCAGCCACTTGGGGAGTGAACCAGCAGATGGAAGAACTTCCTTATCTCTTTCTCTGTAAATCTGCTTTACCAATAAAACTTTTAAAAAAATCTTAAAAAAAAAGAAAAAGAAAAAAAAGATTGAATGGTCTTCCGCAAGTTCCATACCTGTTCTTACCTTTCTTGGCCTTGAGTTTTCATGTAAGTCATACCGGGACAAAGCAACTTTGGTAATTAGATGACTTTGCAAACTGGTTCAGATTATTTTTTAGTTCAGTAACAATGGAATCCAGCTAACTTTTTCTGGCTTTTTAACCAACACACGGAGATCTACCTTCCACCAAGCAACTCACAACTAAATCAAGTAACTTAAAAACAACACAGCTCATCCTACCTGGAGGATTTATTCACTGCTTAAAGACAGTTAAATGATAATGCCAAGCAAAGCCTTTAGTACCACAGTGGATCACTGGCCAAAGAAAATGAAGTATTCTCATAATCACCTTTTTTAAATTGTACTGTTCTAACATTGTTATACTAATAAACACAATCTTATGCCATTTCTGCTGAGGCCAATGACTAGATTGCAGCAGGTACTTAAATACGTATGATTTGATGAAAGCATAAATGACAGTAAGATTACTGCCATTTTAAAGGGGAAGGAATGGGTATAGGAGCATCAAGGGATTGTCCTGTACCCCACCTCAGAGGAAGGAGAAATGGGTTTTAATTTGCCTGCGATTCCTCAGCTTGGGTCCAACTTTAATTCATTTCCTTTCTGCAGCAAACTGTCAGCAATGGTCCTGCACTCATCCACGGTTGCAAAGATACACCTGTGATAACACATACATCGCCAAAGCAATAAGAACACAGGCTTTGTTTGGAGTCAGGCAGACTGCCTTCCTGATCCGGTTCTTGATAACTGACTGACTAGAGATAGGGAATTTAGTTAGCATTTGTTCAATGGGGATAATAATAGTATCTATCTTGTAAAACTGTTGTGAAACTTAATTGAAATACTCTATATTAACTACTCCAGCTCCAATGAAGTGCCTGGCAGATGTCAGCTATTATTTTATTCTTAGGAAAAGAAGTTATAAAACAAATGTAGGCTGAGGTTATGTCTGTTTCCAGGTGATGAAAAGAGACTGCTTCAGCGTTCTGGTTTGAACATGTCTGGGGAAAAGCTTGTTTTGGACACTTAATCCCCAAGGCAACAATGTCGGAAGGTGGCCCCAAGAGAGATGTCAAAGTCACGAGGGCTCGACTCCTATGAACGAGATTAATGCCTTACAGGACATGAGGGAACAAGTTTGAGCCCTTGTTCATCCATGCCTTCTGTCATTTTACAATGCAGCCTAAAAGCTCTCACCAATTCCTGGCCCCTATGATCACAGACTGCTCAGCCTTCAGAACTATGGGCCAAACAGCTTTCTGTTTGTTGTAAATTACCCAGTCTGTGGCATTCTGTTAATAGTAGCACAGACTAAGGCAATAACTGAATGCAACAGGTGGTCTTAGACTGGATTCTTTACGGGAGAAAATAAATGCTATAAAGTATTGGTGACACTTTAATAATATTTTAAATCTACTGGCTAGCATTTTGGGGGGCACTGACACAGTGGTTTACGCTGCCTGCCATTTGTGATTCTGGCATACCATATAGGCATGCCAGTTCCACTTGGTTACCCAATTTCTGAACTAGATACCTGTTGATGTACCTGGCAAAGCCAGAGAAGATGGCCCAAGTACCCATATGGGAGATATGATGGAATTCCAGGCTCCTGGTTTTGGCTTGGCACACCTTGGCCATTACAGTCATTTGGGCAGTGAACCAACTAAAAGATCTTTTTCTCTCTGTCTCTCCCTTTGTCATTCTGTCTTTCAAGCAAATAACATAAATACTTAAAAGGCAGGGGTGGGGAGAGGGAAGTCAAAAGCATCAGGCACTCTAGGGTTGTGAGTTAAGCCACCACTTGCAAGACCAATATCCCAAATGGGAATGTCATGCCAATTGAAGGCACCTCCATTTCCAGTCTAGCTGTTAATGCATCTTGGAAGGCAGAATGATGATTGCTCAGGTGCTAGGGCCCCTGTCACCCATGTAGCAGCTGAGATGGCTCCTGGCTTCTGCTTGGCCCAGCCTTGAATGCTGCAGGTATTCGGTGAGTAAATCAGTGACTGGCAGATCTCTAGTACTCTCTCTCTCTTTCTCCCTATCACTGTGGTTTCCAAATAAATGAAAATAAACCAGTCTTAAAAGAAAGAGAAGTACTACACTGAGGATTCAAAATTCTAACCAAGGAAAGATCAGTGTCCAGCAGTAATGAGATTTTGATTAGCCCTGCCTCTGTGACAGACTGGGTTATAACTGTAACAAAAACTCTTCCATCAAACTTGTCCCACTGTCCTTCTTGAGAATAAAGCAGGAAATGAGCCATGAGCCAAAGCCTTCAAAGACACAAAATAAATCGGCCTTTTATAATAAGTTCACCTGCGGGTGGTTTTCCTCTTCCTAAGAAATCTCCAATTTCTTGTAAAGAAATTTACAATCCCACTGTGCTGGGGCCTCTACCCACCTCCTGCTGCTCACTCCCCCATCAGCTTTCAGGCTCGTCATGACAGTCTTTGGGTTCCTTGGACATGTTGAATTTCCTACTTGGGAGCAACCACACCTGACAGTCTCTCACCCTGGAATGTTTTGCAGATTTGGAATACAGCTTCTTGCCTGATGCCCCACTCCATGCACCTAAATTAGCTGTTAGAGTTTACAACAATGCTTGGGATTCAGTGGGAGCTCAAACAACATCTTGGCACGAACCAATTACACCACATTCCTATTTACAAAACAGCTTGGGTTCTTTGTGTCTTCTGCCTCACGCACACAGCTCCTATTCCCACTCTGCAGTCACTTAAACTGTTATAGTTGTTGTTTGCATATCTGTCTGCCCACAAAACTGAAGCAGCTTGTTGCAAGAAGCTATGTCTGCTCTTTCCAATTCCCAGCACCTACCTTAACACACTTCCAAAGCAGCAATAATCCAAGCTAACAAAGACACACAGTTCCCAAGAGCATTAAGAACCTTTTACATTGTAGCTTTCTGCCCTCCTTATATTCACTAATAGCAAATAATAGCAATTAGACCTAATAGTTGCTGAATTCCCATTATGAATACACACTGATACATTTAGGATAATAACAATGATACTTTTAGGATAAGTGCTTTGAATATTGTATCTCTGGGGCCAGTGCAATGGTTTATCTGGCTAATCCTCCACCTCCAAGCTCCAGAATCCCATATGGGCACCGGTTCTAATCCCAACTGCTCCACTCCCCATCCACCTCTCTGCTGTGGCCTGGGAAAGCAGTGAAGGATGGTCCAAAGCCTTGGGATCCTGCACCCATGTGGGAGACCCCAAGAAGTTCCTGGCTCTTGGCTTAGGGTTGGGTAAGTTCTGGCTGCTGTAGCCATTTGAGTAGTGAACCAATGGATGGAAAATCTTTCTCTCTGTCTCTCCTTCTCTCTGTAAATCTGCCTTTCCAATGAAAATAAATAAATCTAGAAATAAATGAATAAGTATCTTATCTCCTTGAATCCTCATTATAACTTTGTTACCTACAATAGTATTAAACCTACGGTTCCGAGAGGGTGCATACTCAGCCAGGGGTTCACCACAGTTAAGAGGTACAACTCAGATCCAAGCAGTGTATTTTTTAAGCCCACAGTCTACCCCAACAGGACAGCTGGGGAAAAAATCTGCTGTGCTACTCACTGTTTCCACTCACACGTTGGCAAGTCAATTTACCCATCCCCACGTGAACAATGCACTTACGGCAGCAAGCTGACGTTGCTCTGGAATGGCTGCTGCAGTGCTTGCTGTACGGTGAAGGCTATCACCGCGAGTCCAAAATAACTCTGCATCATCCCACCAGGGGGACAGAAAATCCTCTCCCAGGCACCTAAGCTTCAGTCACTGCCAAAGTTCTTCACTGGAACCCAAATATTATCAAGAGTTAAACGCACACAAGCTGGGGTGAGTCATAGACATTGGGGAGTGAATTATTCAGATTATCCAACAGAGCATTGAAAAATGGAACCCTTTCGCTGAGGTTACATAATAAGCAGAAATTTCAAGAGACATCTAGTGGGTGCCATTTTTTCAAACCATGAAGGTCAGGTGCAGTGGAGCGCACTCACATACGTGTACTGCAGAGCAGCAGGACAGGATTCTAGAGAGAAAAAGTGCAGATGACATGGAGATTTTCCAATTGCTGCCAAATATCGCTTTAGTATGGGGCGGGGGGGGGGTGGTGAGTTACTCAAATGCAGCAAAGCATAGAGCAGAGGTGCTGGTGCCATTCAGCCAGACAATACTGACCTTCATCAAATCACAAAGAGCCAGAGAGAGGCCAACAAGCCAATCCCTGTGTAAAGTGCAGACGTCCAGGCTGCACGTGGCATTACAGCATCCGCGAGAAGGATGTGCAGGCACCTGTCACATGGCATTACAGCATCCGCGAGAAGGATGTGCAGGCACCTGTTACATGGGACACGCTCTCTTGCCACTCTGTTAGTACCTGGCTTAGTACCTGAGCTTCTCCTTCTGGCAGGCTCATGTCCTATAACAGGGCCAGGGCAACTTTCCACAGATGACAGGTTAGCTTCAGCCTTGGGTCACCTCCCCTGGCAGCCAGGCAACGTGGGAAATCCCAGGAAACAAGAGGGAATGGTGGGTAGGCAGGCAAGCCAGCTGGCAGACTGGGAGTCTCCTAAAGTGGGCACCACCGAGCACCTCATTGTGGGCTGGCAGGTGGAAAAGCAGTCTCTGAACTGTGCCAGAGGAACCCACTCTCGGGTCACTGGCTCTATTTTGTTTCTACGTTAAGACAGCAGGACATCTATCTAGGATAACTTCTCAAACTCGAGCCATTTGACAACCACTCATCACAAATATTTCCACTTCCTCATCTCTACCAGCACTTTTATCTTGGTTACACTTTTATACTTAAAACGTTGATTTAGGAGAAAGATCTACCGTGGTGAAATCGCTGGTTTAAAGGAGCAGTTTTTCTTAACACTGACAGAAATATAAAACCTACGGACATTTGCGCGCCCCTAAACCAAAGCCTTATCCGCTTCCCTTCCCACCCCCACCCCGTGCCAGGGTGCCAATCAGAAGTACAAGCCATTCCTGAGAGGCGGTCAGGTGCCTGAGGCCCCTTCTCCATGCCTCAGTCTCCCAGGAGTCCTCACCCCCAGCTCAAGCCCTGCAGCTGCCCCTCCGCCCCGGCAGCAACACGTTTCCTGTCAAAACAAACCCAAGCAGGAGGGGGAGGGGACGGCGGAGGCCAGTGCCTGGGAAACCCTGGCAACAAACCCCAAACACTTGCTGCAGCCCGGCCCGCCACGACCCCGGCCCGGTCCCGCTCCGGCCCCGCCAAGGGGTGTGAGGCAGAGATCCCAGTCCTGGAACCCAGATGGTGGGAAGCCGTCGCTGGCACCGGCCCAGCGGGAGGTAAACAGCGGCGAAGCGGTCCCCAGAGCCTCCGGGGGCCCAAGCCCGCGGCCATCCGGACACTCGCCGTGGCCACCAGGCGTCCGCACTCCTCTCCCACGCGGGGCGGCGGTTCGAGGTCAAACAAGGAGGGCCCGGGGCGAGGAGGCGCAACCGGCCTTGATGGGTCCCGGCCCGGAGTCTCACGATGGAGTTCCGCGATGGGGCCTGCCTGGGGTACAAGTGTCCCCTCCGCCAATCACGGCTGGTCACCTCAGAGAGAACGATCCTTTCCCCCCCCCCCCCCCAGGGACCGATACACACCGAAAATGTCGCGGAGTCGGGAAGAGAAAGGCGACTGACCCCGGCTCAGGGGTCTCTGGTGTCCCTTCGCCCAGCTCGGCACATCCACCTCTAAAACAGCTCAACAACCTCCAGCCCCTCCTCCCCCGCCCCTCCCCACGCGGTATTTAAAGGGCCCGGAGGAACACTGGAGGGCAAGCCAGCCGCGGCGCGGCCCACAAAGCCGGCCAGAGTAGGGGACGACGGCGCGGCGAGGCCGGGGAGTCTGGGCTATCTCTTCCTCGCAGCCGAGCTCTCACAGAGCATATCGAAAACCGAAATCGTTTTCTTCGTGCTTGGTCAGAGAGGCCGAGGATTCTTGGACTGCAGGGTTTTTTTTGGGTGCGAGACACAATAGTCGTCCTCCCCCCTACACGCGTGCTGCGAGTGGTGCGGTCCAGGGCTGCTAAGGGGCGGAGAGAAGAGTGTTTACGGAACTGGGGCAGCCGAGCAGCCCGGTGCTCCGGGCCCAGGGGGCGGGGCCTGCCTGTCGTGGGGCGGGGCCTCTGGGTGGGGCGGAGCCGCCAGCACCGGGACATCTACCCTGGTTCAGAGCTGGACCCTCTCTGCTCTCGCCCCCCTACTCACCTTCTAGGCAGTGTTGCCATCTGCTCGCATCTTGGGGCGCTGTTTGAGCCCAGATACCCCCTTCTCTACATAGGACAGGCCCCACCGGGTGCCCATCGCCATCAGCCCCGTGTCCACGCACGTAGATGACAGTACCGGCTGCTTTGCTGTAGTGGGCTCTACCACTCGCGACAGCGGCCGACCGTGTCCGTCTACGTTTGTATCCACACCACCGCATTAACACGGGTCCAGATTTGCACCTGGATGGTTCGATTAGCTCTAGGGTGCCACACCCACCCAGGCTCGGTGCAGACTAGGCGTGCGTGGGACAGATAAAAACAATCTTACTTCCTCCAGAGCTCGGGGCAGCACCCGTCTCCCAGGAGAGGTTTCGACGTGGGTTACTGTAAATAACCAATCTTTTGGGCGGCTCTGTGCAGGCTGTCTCCCTGCTGTACTCTGTGGGCTTGCTGCTAGGGGTTCGGAAACATGACCCAGTACAGGCACCGGCACCTGTATTGGGGAGTTTCCCGCAAGAAAGAATGGCGGTGATTTTTGGCCAAAGTATTTCTGTTTCATGCTGAAATCATGTCTGGTTTGTGTTGGCAAACTGACCACAACCATTATATACATATATGGCCACACACACACAAACACACACACACACACACACACACACCCTCAAAGGCAGGGTACTAAGCCCATCTCACAGTAGTGACAATACGGACCCATCTTGAACTCACACCTTGATTCTCCACACATTTTTACCACTCAGGAGATCTTGGCAAAGGGGAGGGGGGATACCATGCTAGTAGTGGTACTGGGTTCTTGTGAACATAACCTAAGATAAAGTATGTGAACTGCTCAGCATTCTACTTAGTAAGCACTCAAGGTTAGCTACTGTAACTATTTGGCAAACCACTTGGAACAAACTTAGCTGATCTGTACAAATCTGTCTCCTTTTGCCACTCTCCTCTAAAGTTTAGGACTTGACACAAGCCAAGATGTTCAAGAGAAAGTGTTGCTGCTTCCCAATTTGTTTTCCTAAAACAAACACACGAACAACAACAACAACAACAACACCCCACAACAAACACATCACCTCGTTTCTGTGTTTCTTGGGATTAGGCATCAGAAGGGAAGACGCCTCCATTTCAATTCTTGCCAAATAACAACCACCACACAACTGCCATTATCTCCCTCAAAGCCTCATAATATAGCAAGTAACCAAAAATATCTCGCAAACTCCTGGTAACTCTGTGACTTCAGCTTTGGCCGCATGGCTGTCTCTGTTAACCCTGTGGGAATGTGGGAAGGAAGTTTTTGTGCTACAGTGTAGCCTGGAGCAGGTGAATGTGAGTCAGGGGTAGTCGTCTGCTCTGCCTGGGCTGTCAGCTGTCTGGCATTGCTTTCAAAGCTCAACTTGCTCTCTAAGCCACCAGGAAGCATTTTTTTTTCAGTCATGCAAATGAGTCAATTTTCAGCACGTGATTGGAGGATGTGGTGACAGCCTTGGAAGCAGTGCGACAGTGGATAACATCAGAGACCCAAGCTGGGACGGAGGGAAGATTTGAAAAGATAATCTTCTGTTATGTTGATGTTAAATAACTCTGGATGCCACTGCCCTTCCTTTCGAGAATTACCTAACTGCTCTCTGCCTTGTGTATTCAAGCGCTTTGAAGGAAATATATAGGGCTGGGAAGTATAAGGCGGTTCCTTTACAAACAATACTTGCATCTTATTCACAGAGCTCAGAGAGTCAGCAAATAAAATCCTTCCTGGTCTGGGCATGTTTATGATTTTCTTGGAGGACAAAAAAGATGTCTGGAAGGAAATCTCTTTAGCAACTAAAATAATTATTTGAAAAAAAAGACATGTTTCTGCACCCAATTAGTCTAGCCTTTTTGGGACTATGTAGCATATCATAGCAATAGGGTTTGTGCCCTACTCCCCTCTCCCCCAATAAATTACAGAATAGACTGAGTTTTGTCAATTGCCCATGGTAAAAGACAGGGGAAATTAGACTTTTTTTTTTTTTTAACTCAGTGAAGAAATTAAAATATTCATTTTTCTTTTATACATCTAAAACCTGAGCTTTAAAATGCAATGAATCCTTGGAAGGAAAAAACATCAGAAAATTCACAAAAGTAATTGTAATGTGGATTTGCAATCTCTCAACTATTTTAGTATTTTGTAATGGAGCTGTATCTTGTGCTGATTTTTATCCCATCTTTGACAACAACAGAAGAGAAAGCCTGTACCTTGTCTCTCAAATCCCTGCAAGCAGGGCCAAGGCTGGGCTTAAGTGGGAGTCAGGGATTGAATCCAGGGCTCCAAGTGACTTGCACCATCACTGCTGCCTCCCAGGCTGCGCATTGGCAGGAAGATGGATCGAGAGGCAGAGCTGAGACGTGACCCCACTCTGATATGAGATGCCATGTTGATGTCTTAACTGCTGGGTCAGATGCCCAACCCTTATGCTTACTATCTCCAGGCCTATTGCTAGGACAACAGAGTGATTTCAATCCTACCGATGTTTTTGCTCCCTATTTCTATTTAGAGGAGTTGTGAAGCTTCTCCTCCTACACGATCTGAATTTCCAAGCTTCTCATTATATTTCAAGTTTCTTGCCCAGGGCTGGCCTCATGAATGTGCAATCTGTACAATTGCACGAGGTCCCACACTTGGAAAAACATTGTGCCTAGTTTGAAATTCCACTGGCGGTGTCTTGAAATTCTTGATAACTTTGTAAACAAAAAGCCCTGCATTTTCATTTTCATTTTTTGTACCAGACAATAAAAGTTGTGCAAATGGCTCTAATCTTACCACATAGAATGAGCCTAATGGTTAATTGTACTTGTTTTTCCTTAACCTGCCCCAGAATATAATTCAATAATTTTTATCAGAATTCAGTTAAAGAAATATCTGTTTCAGTATTGAAGGAAGACAAGTAGGAACAACTGGCTGAGTGTTGAGTTTTCAGGCTCATCTAGGGATTTTCAAGAGTAATTTTGATTGCACAAGATTTTTATTCTGTATCTTCCTTTAAGAGCCTAACCTCTCAGTTAAGTTCTCTATTCTAAGTTCAAAGAGAGAGAGAGAGAGAGAGAGAGAGAGAGAGAGAGAGAGAGAGAAAGATAGAGGAGAGATTAAATGGGATTCTCTTTCTGCCTCCCCATCCTTAATTTTTTTTCTAATTTTTATATGTCCTGCCAAAGCAAGCACACTCCCTTATTCTTAATATTAAGGTGCTAGAAAAAGATAGGATGGGAATGTGATAGAAAACAGAACAAAGATAAAAAATCTAGCTAATATTCATGCTAGCAGATCAGTCACTGAAGGTTCAAAAGCTAACCACATGCCTGTTTCCTTTGTCTTGAAGATAAGGCAGACTTAGGCCACTGACCACATTGTCCAAGACTCTGAGCATCTCCCACATGTTAAAAAGCAGACATTTTTAGAGCCTCCCCCTGTTCTTCCACAGACTCCCTTCACTCACCTGGACACCAGTGTTGTTTCATGGGGAGCAAACAGCAGTATGCGAACCAGTAGGGAGCACGACTGTGGACAGGACTGGGAGGGGCTGAGGACCCAGGTCAAAGGAGCACCTGTGGAGGCCACAAAGACTTGATGACTCAGTCCCCTGATTAAAACATCTCCCAGCCAATAGGCAATCAGTTGCTGACTGCCTTTAGGATGTACATTTCAGCCTCCTTTTAAAAATGAAGTGTAATACCCAATGGGATGGACAGAGCTAAAATAAGAGACAAAATTCAGAAGACATAAAGGAAAGATCGAGAAATGAGACTTCAGATACATGTTTCACATTAAAACAAGAGTTATAAAAATGATTATGTGGTGAAACCATCTATGGTCAAGACAACTTACAGCAGAAATAATATTTTAACCTCCAATCTGTCTACAAGGCCAAACTGGGGAATGTTCCTGATTAATTCTATAAGCATTCAATGGCTTATTTATTTTGTGAGAATTTATTGTTTCTATGTTACTAGTGTCATTTTATGCTGCTTTACAATTGTGCTTTTATCATTGTAAGTCCTAGTAAATTTGTCTTTGCACAATAAATAACTTTCCCATCATATTTATGGAAGTCCTGATATCAAATAGAGCTTTTCATATAAAGTGTATAAAAAGTAGACTTGCAAAAGACCCCTCTATGTCAAAGATATTTATGCTGGGTGGGAAATAATTATCTTTTTTAGTTTAGGGCTTTTTTAAAGTCACTGAATTGCATACTTTATTTGAAAGGAAGAGAAATAGAGAACTCTCGCATCTATTGGTTCACTTCCCCCACATGCCCATATACCCAGGATCAGACATGGACAAGATCAGGAGCTAGGAATTAACCTGAGTCTCCAATATGGATGGCAGGGACCCCAGGACTTGAGCTATCACTTGCTGCCTCCCAAAATACGTATTAATAGAGAGCCAAAAATCAGAAGGAACTGAAGCTGAACCACAGGCACTCCAAGACGGGATAAAGCGCCCGAAGTGGGGTCTGCTGTGCCCAATGCTCAACCCCCTACTCTTTAAGGA